AAATAATAGATTTGAGAATATCATATACGTGCATTATTTACTAAGTAAAATTATCATATTAAAAGTGGTAAATAAGTGTTAAGGGGTAGAAAGTGACTATACTCAATTAGTTCACCATCACTGAAGTAGAATTGGAATCAACACATCATGATAATCTTTCAATAAAATTCATAGAGATGTCTTCCCAAATGTGTTCGAAGATTTAAATAAGTTGATGTAATTTTGTCAAAGATAAGGAGTCAGATTTATTTTGTTGTCACATGAACTCTCATCAACATATGTTTTCATCTATTACTTCATCCCTATCTAGAAGACTTACTAAGTTATTTTTTTGTAAATTTTGTAAAATCATGCATACCCTCTCACTTAGTTATCATAGAAGTCATGTAATAATTTATCAATTAAATGAGAGAGTGCAATGATCACTAGGCATCTCATATGTAATATAAGATATTGATGAAGAGAAAAATGAGAGTTAGTCTCTCTATAATAATGTTTGTTGTATGGGTCTTAACTTGGGATCTGTCTAAATTTTGATCATTGAACTAGAAATATCAAGTTATAATGTTTGGAAGATATATGCAGCATGTAATATACCTCAATTGTTACTCTTAATATTATGTTAGAATCAAAATCTATTAATTTTTAAATTCTATTTTTGGTTTTTTGAGTATACTAATCTATGTGGATGTAAAATTTCCTACCTAAGAAATTATTTTGTCATCTTAAAATTGCTAACACTATTTTAATGAGGTCTCTATTGTAAACTGATTTCAATATATTTTTTTCCAAGAAAGATTGACTAAATTAGGTGATTAGTCTTCCTTCTTGTGTATAGATGAGTCTTAAATCTAACATGTACATATTTACTTCTCAAATGAAAGTTTCCAAAAAGAAAGGTAAGATTTTAATTTGAATGTCATTGAAACTTTTTCTCGTTTGAATGTCATTTGTGTGGACTTATTCTTGTGGAACATTTCCTTCTTGAGTTAGAGGCTGCACTAATGATACATAACTTACAAAAAATCTTAATTAATAATATTTAAGTCTCATTTTTTTTGTAATTCTCATAAATTTATCAAAATGAGTCATTTTAGCATCACTTCAATCTTTCTTTGACATATTGTCACGTTAGCCACTAAAATCAAATGACTAAAGTATTACAATTGACCTTGAGTGAATAGATACTTCTTATTACTACTAAAAAATGTCATATATATATATTTTTCATGTTATTATACATCATACTTATAAATCAATATATTATCAAAGAAGATTACAACCAAGTGAGAGATATAAGCTTGAAATTTTTTATTTATCAAATATTAGAAGGTGTTAGGGACTAGACACTTTATCTCATCTTTCTTGGTATGAGAACCACTAAATTGGTAGATGTTCACTGACTTTAGTCTGATAACATGGTCAATATCCCATTTTTAGGGTAGTCCATGTTGAGGAATACAACTAGATTTAAGACTTAATGGACTTGAGAGTGGTGTGATATTACAACTGAAGAAAGAGAGCATATCTACAGAATATGAACAATATGATAAAATAATATACCTGAGCTATAATATTCCTATTAGGTACTAGGTTTGATTTCAACTTTTAAATTATCAAAATAATTGTTACCAACCTTAGGTATTAGTTAGTCCAAGTTGATCCTCCAAAATCAAGTGGTTCTCACATGAATACTAAAGTACTAAAAAGGAATGTGAAACCAAATAAAAAGAAAATTAGGAAGAAGATAGAAAATAAATTTTGAAAAAAAACCCAGATTGTGTTAGAGGACCTTTGAGATGCCATTGTATCTCTCAAGTCACTATTTTTTCCTCTTAGTATAATTGAGCTCTATTTGTTGAACCCTAGCACCTTACTAATTGATTATGTAATGACTATTTTACCCCTCATTACTGTGTTTACCTTTATAGACAAATTTTTCCCTTCTTTCTATTGAAGTAACGATTGGAGTTATATTAATATGCTTTCAACTTTTTTATTTTTCTCTCTTTTCTACTAAAAGATGAAGACGTTCAACATTGTGTTTAAGAAATTAATTAATATATTATGTAAATATCTTAATATGTTCTTTTACCCATTATCTCTACCCCTCTCTATGGACATGAATCATTCTCCAAAAGATGTGAGCCATGGTGTATCACTTCTTAATATTTTTCATTTGTATATAGTTTTGTCATCTCTATTATATTAACTTTGATATTTCACACACATCCATTGTGGTTTAGACATTGATGATTTATCTTTTCTGATGGATATTTATACTATTTTATTTTTACATAGCAATCTCCACTATTAAGTTACTAAGTCATTCAACTAAAAACTCAATTGATATTCATAGGTGAGATCAATCTATTTAGTTGCGCTGCTTTACATAGTTTGGTTTGATTGAGATTATTTTAGCACACTCTCACAAACACAAATATTTTAGTCAGATGGAGAATATAAATTGTATCACGCAGGAATATAGTATAACCCTACAATGTCAATGTCATATTAGAATGTTTGGTCATCACATTCAAAATTGGTTAGTGGCCAACACTTCAAACTGCACTATTTATTTTATTTCTTTCAATCAGCCTTGGAATGTACATTCTTTGAGTTCAAAAGGAGGAAGAGGGCTGAAAAATTGATGGTCAGTTGAATGGAGAAAAAAATTATTCACAAATGTATCAAACCTGGAGGTGGGAAGATGAACAATGAAAGAAGAAAGTACTAAAAGTGGAATATAAAGAACTTTAAATATCTAGTGATTATATCTTACTCATGGTCAAAACACTTGCATGTTCAAAAATTAGAATGATATGAGCAAGTAGAAATGACGAATTAGGCCTTTTTTATAACCTATGAATTCATTGTCTTTTGATTCATCAATCATATGTCCTCATTCTTCTTTGGGTTGAACTTTGAAGAAGACCCACTCCTACACTTTGGCAGTGGCCATACACTAGATGGTTCCAACCCTTGCGTATGATCTGACCTCAATCTTGGAGTTTAATATTCAAGGAGCCTACCAACTATGTCAAAAGGCCTTCATTTAGCAAAGATGCTACTGATCAACTACTGCACCAATGAGGATCAATTGCTGGTGGGACGCCGAAAATAAATAATAATGAGGATGTTTAAAGATGCCTATTTAAGAACCAATTAAGATCCGCCTTGTTCGGATGGGTTTAGTCCCAATCAATGCAGCCCAGTCCAACTTTGGGTTGACTTTGAACTTGTTCAGCCTAAAATGTGAACATCAGCTGAAAACCCAACTTCCAAGTCAAAGGAGTGATGTCAAAGTCGCGAGGCGAGAGTCTCCCCAGAAAGTTATCTTCAACTTGCATGCTCACTTCGAGTTTGCTTGAGAGAGCGGAAAACCCTAATTTGTTGACGGAAACTGACTGGGGACTGGCAACTATGGTTTTCAAGCTTGGAGAGTGAGAGGAAGTTCACCGGCAGGCATATCCCACATTCTCTATCTGAAGCCTTAGATTTCTGACTTGCAAATTGCTGAGGAAGAAGATAGACCTCGGTCTTCATCTTGCTGGTCTTTTAATCCTCCAGCAATGCAAGGAGAGCTATCATCAAGCCCTCGTCGGTCTCTGAACCAGGGGCCTACCTCTCCACCATGTCTTGCATCATGATGTCCTTGACGCACGTTATGCTCAGATGGCGCACTCATATGCAGAGATCTTGAAGCGCATCTATGAGCCTAGGTTGCGAGTGACTTATGCTCTCCTAGGCAAGCTTGATCATGGCTTGTCTGGGGCTGCTCTGATGCAGATTATGCTGGTGCTCATGAAGTTAGTAGGTCTACTATAGGTTTTTGCACATATGTTGGGGGTACTTTTGTTACTTAGTATAGTAAGAAGCAAAATATTATTTCTCAATCTACTACTAAATCTGAATACATAGCCATAGCTTATACTATATCTGAACTCTTCTAGGTGGTATCAATACTTCAAGCTTTTCATATCACTGGCTCTAAGTTTGTTCCTATGTATCGTGACAACAAGGCTGATATTTTCATAACCAATGATTCTGTCTTTCACGAGCGTACAAAACAAATAAAGGTGAACTGTCATTTCATTAGAGATGTTGTGATATCCAAAAAAATCTCTACACCTTACATTACTACAGAGGAGCAATTGGGGGATATCTTTACCAATGCACTTGTCGAACACTGCAGACTATCCGTGCCAAGTTGATCATGAGAGATCTCCATGTTCCAACTTGAGGGCGGAGTGTTGTGGCCCATTTATTATAAGGACATTATTTTAAAACTTACTGCTTTAGGGCTAAGTCATTTAACCCTAAAGAGGGAGGTGGACGACGGTGTTACGAACGAATTTTACCTTCACTCTCTCTCTCTCCCTCTCTTCTCAACACTCCACCCAGATCATTCCTATCTCCAGCTCAACATTGTCACCCGCCGCGCAGGCGATGGCGGTGGTGGCTGGTTTAAAACCTTGTGCTTTCGAGGACAGGGCTTTCACTTGTTGCATGAGATGAGAGAGAGAGAGAGAGAGAGAGGGAGAGGAGACGTGATGATGAGTAACTCTTAACGCGACCTCAGCCGAAGAATCTCTTTCCGAGGGATTAGCGCGGCCAATAATTTCACAGATTTGCAGGACCACGAAGGTAGATAGAACAGAAGATCCCACCATACGACCTCAGAACTACAGGCAACATCATCATCATCTACGTCGCATTCCATAGCAGGCAATGTATGCCACATTCAAAATGACCTGTGATACGCTCCCCCCGTCGCAGCTACATCCATGCCCTTTAAAGAGCGAAGCCAGAGAAGGTGCTACCCCATTGCAGCGCTTCTCTCCGTTCCATGGACGTCGACCTCACCTCCGGACCTCTCCAAAAGCAGGATGTCCGCCAAGTTTTCTTCTCTAAAGCAGCGGACCATCACTCCAACCGCCAATCGTCAAGCGCTTCTCCTTCCTAAACCCCCCGGAACCCTCCCTATAACTTTTAACCTCTCAGTACGAGCTCGCCCAAGGCGCCTTCATCAGCTTCTCCGGCGACCGGCCGGCGATCTCCTCGCCTTCTTCGAAGATGCTTACTTCCTCCTCGGTGCTCTCGAACCTGGTGCAAGTGTTGGACCCGACCGTCTTTCCCTCGGGGACCGCCTCCGGTCGCCCCCCCAACGTCTTCGCAATCAACATTCTCAGGAGGTTCATCACTTGCACGGCATGGATCAATGCAGTCAAAGGATCGGCCATCTGCCAAGGAAGCCGAACAGTCCATTGTCAGCGCCCGAATATGGGAAAATAATCCTCTCTGAAGCAAAATCAACTGTCCTGACCTTAGTCAGGTTAGGAGCAAAAACCATCGCTATGTTTCTGGCGTTCATCTTGTTGTAGTGCTCGTACTGCACCACATCCGCCATGAGGTTGATGGCCCAGTAGAGCAATGCCGCTTCCGTTGGTGGCAGCATGCCGACCAGTTGGGAACACTCTTCCTCCGTGTTGCAGTGCATCACCTGATCCGGAGTGATGGAGTCGAGGACCCCGGAGGGGAGCTCTCTAAACCATGCCTACAGAAGAGGAAAGAAAACCTTATTCAAGAGAAAACGCAAACATATACGGGAGGACGAGATTCGATCGAAAACGACTTTCAGTATCTCAAGAAAGATAACGGTTCTCTTCCAAAACCAGTGGAGACAAATGCGCAGAAAATAGCCTTGCTATTGGCAATTCAAGTTTCCCCAAAGTCCTCTTATGCCAACTGATAAATAAGACGATTCCCAGATTTCAAAATTCTGAAAACGTCCCATAGAATCAATCACTCAAGAGAACCCTACCAAACCGAAAAAATCTCCACAAAATGGAGAAACTCATCCCTCCCACAGAACAAATGCCTATTTTTCCAAAGAAAGATAATTCTGCTACAAGTGCTCCCCAACGAGATGAAAGCTTCCATTGAAATACCTTTATTAAACTTGCCAGACAGTGCAAGTCAACGTCTGGTGGAACAACGCCCTTGTTCAGCTGATCTCGAACATAGACCTCTTGCCCATTTTCCGCGTTGACCCTGAAAACCCCTTCTGCCTTCAGGCACGATTAACATAAACCGACCATCAGTATAACACTCTTTGGCGTCCGCATGGGGTTCTACTAAGCAACGAAGTATACACGTACATGGAGGCCTCCCTTGGAATATAGGTGCTGCTGCATCAGGAGTAGAATAGTCGGCACACTGTTGCCCCTGTTGTCAAATGAACATTGCATGGACTTCGCAGAAACTCCAAACACACTTGCACTACAAAATTGTGATTTGACTAGTCAGCCAGACTCGGTTGAACGAGGATATTACAGCTTACAAGAGGAATCCGGAAATAAACTGGAAATTGAGATTTATTTTTAATTCCAGTGAGAGAAGAACCCAAATAGAATGGAGCATTTATTCATGGAAGAATGTGATAAGAGCATTTAAGTCGAAAATGAATAAAATAAAATAAAATATGAGATACAAGCCGAAAGGGCAAGATATCATATCATGTATATAATGAAATTGCCGTAAAAAAATTACCAGAAATTGTGCCACTCGGAACCTTCACTTTGAAGATAATTTAACTTCCCTTGCGTATGAAAAAAAGGCTTAAACGTATTTCCTTCCCCCTTGACATCTCTTTCCTCTTCCTTCAGCTTCTAATTTTTAATACATTTACTGGTTGACTCTGCAACTATTCTACATCTGCTATCTTACTCTATTCGAGCAGAAAATCATCATTCACATCAATTTTTCGAGTTTAAACCAAAGACCAAGTCAGTTAAGGCCCCATTAGTGATATAAAAAAAGAAACAGTGAAGATAATCAGACATTCTGGAAGATATAACCACAATAGAACAGTACATTTTTAAAAAAAAAATGTCCTCGGGAAACACGGAGAGTATATCAAAATAAGAGAGTCAGCTGATCAAAGAGGAAATGAAGAGGAAGAGCTGGGTGAATGTCTTTCCTTCTTGAATGCGCCATAAAAAAACAGAGGTTAAAGACCTTGACTTAGATGGCCCAGTCAGAAGTCATCACATCAACACAAATGATAAACGTATCAGCAGACTTCAAGAAACTAATGCTAAGCGCGCATTTCAAACCCTGGCATTATTTGTGGTGGCCTGCTGGTTTGCTCAGCCAGATAATGAGCCTCAAAGTTAATGCCTTATTTCCTTGATGCAAGATCTTTCAGCCTATTTCATCGGGAGCACTGCCACTTTTTGTACATCAATCTCGAACCTTAAAACCATTTAGACCGAAGGAAGAGCTTATCTATGTTGGACAGATCCCCCACAAACGACAAGAAACTCAGGTAGAAAATATTCAAGATTCAGAGCATTCCTCGGAGACGATTGAAAGTCAAAGATGAAGAGAAATAGGTGGCGTAAGCAACAGTAGTTGATGTAAGATACGAGCGGAAGACGGCAGACCAACGTCGAAGAAGAGAGAGCACGCTACAGTGATACTAATCTTCTCCATTTCCAACGAAAGCCCAAGATTTAGCATGATGCCTGGGGAACCTCTCTGGATGCCGGAACCGGGACGCGAAGATCACATAGAAGAAAGATAAGACAGGAGGAAAGAAGACGAAGAACAAGAACATACGGGGAAAGTAGTTGACCTGGCGCTGGGTGCCCTGATGGAAACGTCGTGCTCCAACTCCGCAGGCAACCCGAGGAACCCTTGGAACCGATCGAACGTCACGTGGGCGACGTGCTGCACATCCGTCGGCCACCCAATGTTCGCCGGGGGGTAAACGTCCTCCCGGGGATCGACACTGCAGGTGACGAGAGACTTTCTCAGCGCGGCGACGACGAGTGTCAAGACGGGAAACTGCTGCCGCCGACGCCGCGGCGACCGTTGTGGCTGCTCATATTGGCGGCCGCTCCACGCCCTCCATCCCTCCGGTTCCTCCAGGATCACCTTCCCGTCTAAACCGCCCTCATCGCTCTCTTCCCCTTCCCCATCGTCTTCTTGCTCATGGAGCTCGAACTTCGTCATGGTCTCCGGCAGGCAAAACAAAGGCAAGAATTTGGAACCAAAGAGAAGCAATCTACAGCAACAACGAACACCCGAGAAGGGAAGCCAGCAGGGGAGAGGACGGGCACCTTCCTTTCTTCCGTGTCTATTAAATAAAATAGCCGGAAATCCCTGCAGACCCAGTTGCGCGTCTTAGACTATTTATCCAAACACGGCATCAGGGGGTGTAGAAATAATCGCTGCACGCGCCGGACTCTGCTGCCGTGGCGGCCAACAGAGACCGCTCGGGCGGCGGCGTACTTGCCGGGGAGTGCCGCTCAAGACCGGGGCTCCCGCTCTGTCCCTTTCCTCCCTCAAGCCGTCCTCTCGTCACGGGCAGCCGGCAGTAGTCCTTTTGCGGCGGACTCTTCCTGTCATTCAGCGCCATGGCACCTGGGGACGGCCGCTGAAGAGCCTTTTGGGACCAGATCGTGGGAGCTTTCCGAGAGAGCACGCACAACGAAGTTGGATCGGGAGGACCCTCCCGGCATGTGATGATGACAGAACTGAGACGGGTGCCCCCTGGGAATCGGTCTGCTCTGCTTGGATGGAGACGTGCACGTGGAAGATCACAGAAAGATGGTCTCCGTATATATTCGGAGGCTCCGGGTCCGCTGGTGATTTCATGCTCCTTTCCGGGAGGCCCACGGCCGGACAGGGGAGGTGGATAAAGGGACGATTTTTCTCGGTCGCCTTGCCCTGAGACGGCGGGCAACGGCGAGCTACGACCCGGCCATTATTGCTTGCGGGGGATGTCAGGGAACTCAATCCAGCACTGATGGTGGATGGATGGGACGAATAGTGGAGAACCCCACCACCAGCACCGCCACCAAGAGGAGAGGATCCTGTTAGTATTCATTTATGGGTATTTATTAGCGGCATAATCATGCATGGAAGAAAATCAATCTGTCTGTGTTCTTCAAGAGATGTTGAAGAAAACCTGCAAGCTGCACGTATGACGCTTCAATTTTACGACGAAAAGACCCTACAAATCCGATTTATTGACAACAATGGGCGTGAAAGTATTCTGCAGAAATTCGCCATCCGTCGAATGAGGATGGAATATTTGGGCCTGCTATATATGGAAAAGAGGGAGTTTGACCATCGTCGAAGGAATCTCCGAGATGGGTTCTCCATGCTCTTCACAGATCTAAAGTCACTCAGAATTTGATCCAAAAAGCTCACAAAAAATATGGGAATGAACCATCAGGGCTGCTCTTACGGCAGACAGGAGTACTCGGGAACTAAATCTTATTTCCAAACGAAAAATACTGAAAATTATCCACATTCTTGAGCATCATTCTAAACATAGTTGGGACGATTTCTTTTAGCTGAAAGAACAATACAGTGGGTGACGCCTCAACCTCTCAGGGAATACTTCTTCCCGGTGAAAGCCTGGAATTTCGGTTCTTCTTTCTTCGCAGGCTCTTCCTTCTCTTTTGCTGCATCCTGAAATTGGAGAAAATAAAGCAAAAAAAAAGAAGGTAAATCTAGTTTGTGTATCCAGAAGCCTGCTAATTTCTTATCGAGGAAAAGATCCCCACGAGCTTCATCAATATTGAGGTGATCAGCCAGAAGAGAGAAAAGGGCAAACAATTAAATATCCATATACAGAACTTCACAGATTCTACCTTCTGTTTGTCTGTTGGTGTTGGATTTGAACCGAACACAAGCTTTCCTGCTGGTTTATGTGAACTAGTTTCAGATGTGGAGCCAGTTGAATGTTTCCTGCTGATGGCTTCTATGGGTCGGTCGTCCTTTGTTGTGGATGAAGCAATCGACGGTGGCTGATGCTGCGGCTGCTTTCCATCCAACCGTCTTCCAGTGCCAGTAAAGGGGTTGAATTTTGCTTCAGGTTCCACGACATCCTCTTGGGCTGAAAAAAAGAGATGACTTATGAATTTTGGTGGGAACTAGATTTGGCGTATGCCAAAAAAAAAAGAATGAAAAAAAATTCTCCAAAGACAATGAAGATTATCACGAAGATATTCAGAAAATCTAGATTCATTTAGGCGATGCATTTCTATACTCTCCTAAAACACTTCTAGACTGGGAACATGGCAATGTAAATTCAAGATCAAGAATGATAATGCTTTCTGAACAATCAAGAACAGAACCCTGGATTGACAGATATGTATGCTATACGAACTGGGGAAAGAATCAGTGGGACTTGTCCTCATAGTTGAGGGAATTCTAAATCAGGGCGAAAAGAGGATGAAAGGCACCCCCGAATTTAGGGAAACAGGAGCATCCTACAGGATGGGATAAAGGCAACTGTTCTCAAAATTGGGGGCGAAAACATTGGATCGTTGATCAAGGTCGGAACTTAGGTCACACCATATTTATAATTGGGAAGCCAATAACATGATGCAACAACCATCAAGAGACGGAAATGGATCCTGCTCCACAATCCACTATATAATCGATCATATTCGTATTTAACATGCCAAATGCCAAACACATCTTCAGTACCACAACAGAGTCCTGTTAAGTCACACCGTTCCCCTTCATAATCCACACAAAAATAATGCCTACATCTCTGTCATGTCATGGGCACCTTGATGCCACGGTGTGCCTTCGTTGAAAACACTAGCCAAAAGAAAGGGAAACAAAGATTATCATACAACATGGTAAACATTTCTCTCTCCATCATCATATCATGCTCAAGATACTCAGTGCTGCATACTGCTGAATTGTTAAAACCATTCAGACAACCATAGATAAATGAAACAAACAAGTGGAGAGTCCAGCTTGTAGCCAAATCAACTTCGGTGAGGCTCGACTCCAGCTTGTTTGACTGAGTGAGAGAGACAAGTGAACAAAACACACCCAACTAGGTTCATTCCCCGTCTTATTTAATTTATATCCGCCTCTGTCAGGGTTAGAGAGAGGTCAGGGAATTCACAAGAAGAAAAGGAATTAGACTATTTCAACATTCCTACCGATTCAAGTAAACAAAGGAAAGAATGTGAGAAAATTGAACTTATTAATAATTCATTCTCTGAAAAGTTGTAGTAATATCGGCAACATAAACCCGAAAATATTCAACTAAAACGGAGCATTAGATACAAAGGGAAAAACTGAAAGTCAAACCTTCAGCATGTGCCTTGCTTAATGGAGCAGAAACTGCAGGTTTTTCTGGTTCTTTATAATCCAGTGGTGGTGCAAAGTCGACCTCACAGTCCGTCTCAATGATACTTATGGCAGAAGCCGGTTTTGTTTCCACAATATCTATGTAGTATTTCTTATTGTTGTATGCCACCATGATACTATCCCCCGTTGTTAAGCATGAGAAGCTCCTCAAAGCTGTCTCCAAGCTGTAAAAAATGGACATTTAGTCTTTAGTAAGAATTATAGAGAAAGATAAAAAAAATAAAAAATATAATGACAATTGTGTAAAATAAGGTTGAGCTTCTATCAACATCTGAGAAGAACACTCACATGGCTTTTGGGTTTGATATATCTAAGAAGTCTTTGGTGTGCGGCTGTAATTTGACATAGGAACCCTTTGGAAGGGTCACATTTTTCACTTTAACAGTATCTCCTTCTTGTAAAAGCATGTTCTCCATCATCTAGAAAGATCCAACCAATAGAGAGACTCATTGGATAATCACATAGAATGACATAGATGACAATAAAGACAATCAACTGTCCCTCAGGGATGCGTACCCAATATGGCATGTAGATCATTCCCTCTTCAGCAATAAATTCCAGCACACCACAGTGAGAAATCCTCTCAGCTGCAGAATTGCGTAGCTCAAATAGCATAGGATAATCAATGTGCAAAGTTGCTGCACGAGAAAAGTTGTTAAGATACATTAGGATCTGATAAAGGGTATTTTAAAAATTAGAAGTACAAATGATTATTTGCAATGCTTGCATGAAGGGATGTGACAAATGGCACCATCGCAAGTAGGATCCTTAAGATACATAAGATTGCGAACTGAACTCGGAATTTTAAATAAAGATTTCTGTTTTCAAAATAATCAGCAATCCACTTCATGAAAACGAATTTTGGCTTTTTCAAACATTTAAATAAATACAAAACGTTAAAACCATGAAAATACAAAGAAAAATGAAACAATAAGTCTAACACGTCATCGCCATTCATCCTATGCCCTGAATTGTCATTATTTTCACACTGGCATAGTTGTTTTGACATTCTTCCCGAAAAATTCCAACGAAGTTTAAAACTATCAGATAGTCGTCATATCCAATGGACATAATTAACTATAAATGGCTTTATTCCAACACAAAGCATGCAATTATTTTAAAAATGGCATATCCATCATCACGCATCAAGTAAAAATTTGGCCCGGAAAACAAAAATAGAACCCCTTACCAAGACGATCAAGAGCAGAAGGTGGCATTATAACTGAAACAAAGCCCATTAAAAGTATAAGCATCATCTCATATGAACGACAACAGAAACTAAACTTCCAGAAATAGTATTAACAGATGTAGTGAATAGGACGGCGTACTTTTATCACCACTTTCCAGATGCGGCTGCAAAATAAAAGAGAAACCAAATAGTAAAACAATAAAAAAATATATAATCTCCTACATGTTTAATGGATACGATTCTAAATGGTGAATGCAGGAAGAGGCCCTCCCTCTTATAAGTAGTTTAACGGAAGTCCCAAGGATAACTTGTTTTCCATCAGGATAAAATGCATGAGAAAAACATGCATCAGACATGAAGAACTACATATTTATGGTCTAACCCACAAAATAAAAAGAAATGATAGTTCGTAAGGTTTTTACCTTATCAATAAAAGATACAGGATAACATACGTATGTCTGTTCAAATGTATGCCCGTGATAGCCATATCCTTGGAAAAACTGAAAAAATCAAAATTGTATGCATATCAAAACTTGCACGAACTGATAATTAATAATGCAATCATCAATAATCATATGCATTGTGTGATCAAGTGATTGACTGATCATTTCCCAGAGGGTTCAATTTAAACCAGCTAATTCCTTTATTTTACACTTCTTATTTGGATTTCATAACTGAAATTAATTATCAGCAAGCAGTTGGATCTCATCTTTCTTCATAGATTTTTCATCAAAATGTTAGTTTCTGCAATATTTATCAATACTAGGGCCTTTCAGTCAGCGATCAGAATATTTTACCGACCTCCAGAACAAAACTTATAAACAAACTCATCTGGAATCTGGAGTAGTCCAGCAGAACAATTAGATGAATGGTATTTAGCCAACTTTCTTCGGCAGTCTCTTCAGTTTGTCTAACTTGAGAAAAATGTGGCTAACCACTATCCTCACTTAAGCAATAGTCACCGTCAGTAGTTTTACCATGTTAACATGCGATTAAAAGCGTGCAGTCCTTGTTGACGGAAATTAAATATATGACAATTAATCATTAATACTCGATTCTTGCTGGTCATGACGACAGAATGGGAAAAAGTACATAAATAACATAAACCGCCCAAAATTGTCTAGAAGAAGCTGAACGAACTGGAAGGCCAAAATTGGTTAAGAATTACTTTTCACATCTGAAAATTTATTTTACTGTTTATTCATAAGAAGAGGTGTGACACCTCTCGCTGCTACCACCGCTCAGGCAGCCCAGCCCGTAGTTCTCCCAACGCTTGGCACCTGCATCAGGGTCTGCTGCATTGGGGGTCTAGTAGTCCATGAGGGCGTCAGCCAACACCATGCACGTGACAGGAGGAGCTAAGGCAAGGAAAAGTCCCAGATCTCGAAGAGTGCATGCAGTGAGTAGGGGATCCCAACTACAACAGTAATGGGGTATCCAATGGGGTATTTCGAAAACGAATCCTAAATTGATATCACCATGTTGTTATTGAATACAGATGATCTCAATCACTTTTCTCGATAATAATCCAGAAACAAGCAGATTTTACGGATAAACAAGAGACAGAACCACAGTTTTGACGGCCAAAATTGGTAAATATACAAGATAAAAAAAATCAGTAAATTACAGTACATAATTTGGGAATAATATTCTTCATGGTTGTGAAATATTCATCTCTTAATGCTTACACAGATTATAGGTGCCAGTAATTTACCCGCATACTTCAGAAAAAATTTCAACAAAAGTTCTGATAAAGTGGCGCGCATTAAAAAAATAAAAAATGTAAATTCGAGACCCAGTTGTACACAAAGTAATTCAAAATGCGAAAGAGAATTACAGTCGAAGGTCTAGGAAAAACACAAAAAACGTTTACTGATGAAAAATAAATTTTAGAGGCTAGTTACATGAAAAAACATATCTGAATTAATTTTACATACAAATACATCACATACCATTTTTTAGGGGCTCTTCAATGAATCAGGTAGGCCCTTTAAATCACCTAAACAAGCCACAGACCACAATGAATAAATAAAATGTCAAGAAACATATGAAAAGAACGTTCTCCTAGTTTTAAGCTCCACTAACATGCGAAACCTTTTCTATATTACTATGTACACTGAACAGCATTGTTGAGAAACATTCAGCAAAAGTTAGAGTACAAAAAAGGCTGCAAGATGTGCAATGAATGTTTTCAAAAAGACGACTCATATCCCAAGATAAAAGAGCATCTGTCAAAATATGGAAACTAAAAGTGCCCTCTAAATTCATCGTTGACTTCATGAGATAGGTGTGAAGAAAAACTCCTCTATGAACCCCCCCGTCGGATGTGCTAAATATTCATATGCCACTTGTGTGAATGTTTCCCATTAGAAGTCAGAAAGCAGATTTCTCTGGATACATGTATGTTAGAACCAAAAGACTGATGCAATTAGATAGAAAAAGAGCAAGCAATGGCTAGTAAACCTCACATCCAAGAAACATAGTAGTAAGTATCTACTTCTTCCTCTTCCATGTCCTTCTTTACGTAGTTTTCCCCACATTGAGCTTTATCATTCATATAGCAGGCATAGACCGTGTGCAACGAATGTGCTGGTCTTATGAACTAGCACAGGTCGGACATAGGAATGCAACAAATGATAAATGTGTATCGCGTAGCATGCCATAGAGAAATTCATAGAATTAAAAAAAATTCTTTGTAGTGGCAAATTTGTGATGTTTATGAACTAAACAGATGATCCACAAGAAACGAAAGAGAATCCAATCAGAAACCAAGAAATGGGGTCCACATGGTTATTAAGTTTCATCATCTAAATGGACACATCTGTCAGGACTCAATCAACAGTTAATGAGGCCCTAAAGATCCATAGGAATTAGTGTCCTTAAATTTTTTAGTATCGTGTATGCTGATGCATCGTCCTCCAGTATCTTATGGTTTCTGTTCTTCCTTTTTAATGCCATGATTCCAAAGCAGAGGAAATGTCTTGATTAACCCACTTCCTTTGTTGATACTGATGACACATAAATATGTAACAATAAAAAATAAAAACCTGCTTACATATTTCAAAGAAATTCCTGAACCCCCAGGGAGATCAGCCATTTTCTGCTTTCTAAGCATATGAATTGAAGGACAATGATTTTCATGTCATATTGTATGCAGGGGGAGGATGTCAAAGACAAAGATCGCCATGTATATAATTAAGACAACATTATATTCTCTAAATATAGAGTTCGAGCATATGAAATCATAATTTTTAATGGACGAGGAAACAGTTGTTTTAAGAAGAATCTAGGTGTAGCTACTAATGCGACAGGGAGGTCATACACTAGGCGTCCTGAGCTTGGTCACATGCAGGAACATTCCGAAAATCTTGGATATTTGTGCATTAAAAGAGGGTATTTGGAGTCTGCACCATATACTATTTGGCTGGGCGGGAGCGGCGTGAATCCTTGGAGAAGTATGTTTGTAGAGTTGCAAGGTCCTAGTTTTAACTAGTAAACAGTAAAACACTTGAAGAAGATTAAAGTAAAAAATAGGTGGATGAGAATGTTAAACAACGAATTGCACAGAATTTGGTCACAGATAGCAGCATTTCCGATACTTGGATATCTACCTATTACAAGAGGTTATTTCGGTGTCAAGACCATCTACCATAGTCAATGTGTCTATTTTTTCTTTTCTGGGGGGGAGGGGGGAGGGGCGTAAGGGGGTTAGATGAGATATGTTAGATGACAACTGTTTATGGAAAAGAATGTCTGCAACGTTGCAATGGCCCAGACTCAATCAGTAAACATCAAATATGGTATGCTTAGAATTATTAATAGTGTCAACAACAGCATCAGGTTAGCAAACTATCCACCATTGATCATAGCGTCTAATCTATTACGGCTACAGAATAAAATTCGAAGTTGGGCAGTACTGTGAATGGGAGAAATAATTGGAGAACATTAATAAGTTTTGACTACTAGGATCTTCTGCTTCATACTACTAAACTTTGACAGCAACTGACCCCGAGAGGCCTTATAAAAAATTGAAATAACAAGGACGATGTGAGAGTATATCTTAATACTTTGCCATCCAACCGAGTTTATTGCGTATATTTGAAAATTGGTATCCCTATTTCCTTAAAACATACAGCGACTTTCCTCATCTCTGGAAGATTGACGTCTGGCATATATTTTTTTGTTGAAGTACATCGAATTCGACACTAAGGAAATTGTTAGGGGATAAATAGTTACGATGGCCCAGAGAAGATCCCTCTAACCATAGATTGGGAAGCTGAGTTTAAATGTTGAATAAAGACCATTTTAAAATCCGTCAGTGGTGATGAGAGGACGAAACATTCACAACACTCGCGTCTAACAAACGCCATTAACAAGAAATAACCTGAACCGAAAAGATCACGGACGAGCTGAAAGACGTACCAATAATCTCGGAATAAACCACTGACGGCTTTTAGATAAAAAAAACTCCGTCGCTATAACATAAAATGTGACGTGAGACTGGGGACGTAGAAGAAGAAACGTACTCATCGAGGGGAGAGAGACAAAGAGAGGGAAGCCGAAGATTGAAAGAGGACCAAACAGAGACCAGGTACCACTAACCTCAGGCGAGACTCGCCGCCGGGGGAAAGCAAGAATATGTGCGACCTCGAGGTGATCCTACAAAACCCGGACGCGGCAGCGGGAAGCGATCACAAGGCCGGTTAATCTCTGTTTCTCCTTGACGATGCTCCAACTGGTACTTGGCGTGGGAAGCACGAAGATAGACGGCAGTGAAGTCTAGCGCCATCCTAAACACATCGGACGGTCAAAAGCACATCGGACGGTCCATGACTGCTTAAGCTCGTACTGAAGGGCTGGGCTGGCAGATTGCGCATTTTACATGGGCCATTAATGGGCTTCCCCCGTGCCGGTTCCCCTCCAGGGAAAGAACATCGAAGGTAAGAAATTAGTGGGGAAGCGTCAAGACGGCGATCGTGGGCGTCGAACGTGGGGGGCCCGTCAAGAGTCGGGTTCGGTGTTGACCCCAGGGTTGGACCGGCGGCTCACACTCGTTCGCTTGGGTTTGCCGCCCTTCTTGGACCATAGCTGTCCAGGTGGGGGTCCGATCAATCCGAGGTCACGAGAAAGAAGCGGGAAAGGGAACAACCGTTCGGGCCCCGCTTACGCCGCCACATCTCTGTTGGGGGGGGAGGGGGAGAGGAATCTTCATGATGCGGGATCTAAATCACCAAACTGCGAAGCTCGATTGGAAATTTCAATCCACCGCTGCAGCCTCATGCTGCTCTCGCCCGCTCCGATTCCTCCGACTATGGATCGCCGCCGCCGCTGCTGGCTCTTCTCCGCCGGCCGAACGATCTTCATTCTCATCTTTGTCCCCTCTGTTCGCTGTTCTTCGTAGAAGCTTCTCCGTCGGTTCCCTGAGTGGGAGCTTTTCTGCCTACCTCGGGGAGCCCATTCTCCCCCCCCCCCCTCCGTCTCGGTTCCTCCGCCGTCTGCTTCACAACCCTCGTTCTTTCACATTTTTTCCGCTTCTTCTGACGGAGAAGGCACGGGAGAATTGCGTTCCATGAGGGTGCGCCAGGGCTACTGTCTTGAAATCCCCGTCCCGTTCTGCTTCTTTGGCGGGAATAGCCGGGGGCTCGGCGGCTCACATAGCCCCTTCACAAAGATCGACGCAGAGTAGACCATGTTCTCTTCAATTTCTCTTTTTCTCTTCCCATTCCTTAGATCGGGAAGAGATACCGGCTCTGGCATTCGTAGAAGTTGCCATTCATCTCCTCCAGTCTACGGCTTTGCCTGGCAGTACCCTCCTCCCTCAACTCTCTTTCCTCCCATTGGTCCACCGATCTCTCCGCTGGTCTCTACAGGATCGATGGTTGCAGCTCCCCCTACTTCTCTGTTAATTCATCCGGCGATGTGATCAGACCCCTACCCTCCGTGAATCGAGAGAGAGACACACACACACGTATGACGTTGAGAATATGATCAGTCTCCAAGACAAGACAACACACACGTATGGCTGGCCCCTTTCTTTACCATTCTCTGTGGCGTCGCTTGGTCTGGTCGTCCACCTCACTTGTCGGTCTGGTAATCCGCAGATGTTCATTTATCAAAGTGGCGGTCAAGATCTCTTCTATTGTGGAAAAAATAGACAAGCTACTATCTCATCAATGCTTTCTCCCAATATTTTCACTTTATTCGTAAGGTGAAAGTCCAGAAATTTTGGTGATAATATTCCAGATTGGTTCCTACGTGACCTCTGATTGTGAGAGGTCCTTCGAGATCAAAACCCTAATGTCATGGGGGCCGTGCCGAACGGTTAAGACCTCCGAAGGCAGCACAAACCAGTTGAGGTTATTATCAATAATAAGTGGGCTTGGAGGCATTAGAGGGTATCTTCTCTTTACTTTCTTCAATTGGAGATGCAGAATACTTGATGTACATTTGCAGTGGCCAAAAGATCCATATGGGTAGCCCACTAGTCCAACCCTCTCCAAAATCTTAAATAAATGAAAGAAACGCTATGCAAGCTTTTCATAAGGGCATCAAGCCAAGGATTTCAGCCAATATGAATGAAGTAATTAGTGAACAGAGTTGCCTTTGGTGAATTCGATATTGCAATTTTTCCAATCAACACAAGCTTTTACTTGAACTTGGGCTCACTCGGAGATGTACTTGAGTTGATCAAGGATGACATCCCAGTTTTGGAAATGTTGATTGACCTTATTTCATTGTGTACTAGTTTAAACGGCAAAATATATGTAGATACATAAAAATTTGCTCTATTGATAAGGATGGTCCCCCACAAAGTAATAAAGGTATGTTTTGGGTCCCCCAATTTACCACTTCGTATTGGCTATCAGTCTACGAGTAGCATGAACTAGTATATCATAAAATAGTTCCATGTAGTTTAAATAATTTTCATCAAAATATGATGATGAAGATATTGACTCAGTCAATGAGTATTGAGGTTGGAAGTGCATGTAGTTGCACCATGTTGAGAATGAAGATGTTGGCAACTTCTAAGGTCATGAATGGACATTTGAGGGATGAGAAGTGTGCATACTTGATGAGTCAGTCTACCACCACCAACATAACTTTGAAGCTTTTAGATTTGAAAAGTTACTCAATGGAGTCTATGCATATATCTTCCCAAATAGTTTCAAGAATAAGAAAAGATTACAATTAGTAAGCTAGTGAGAAAGATTTTTATCTTATTTTGTTGACAAATGAGGAACACATTGACATATTTCTTGATATAGTTTTTCATTTTTATCCACATGATATTTTGGGTCGTTCTCTTAACTCTTATGTGCACAAGAGCCCCAAGTGTCCATCAAAGGTTGAGTTGTGAAATTTCCTCAAGGCTGTAAGAATAAGGGAAGAAATATTTGAGTTACCAATATGCTATAGTGGAGTAGAAGCCCATGCGAGATAGAATAATTTGGCCATCACTTAGGGTGTTGCAGTGGTTTCATGATGGTTTAGGAGAGCTAGAGGTTTTATGCATTTTCTTGTCAAACTTGGGCAAAATCTATGAGCTTGACTTGTGATACTTCTATGGGTGGTAGGATAGGATAGGATTTTCGAGTCTCATGGATAAACTATTTACCACTCTATGTTTGATCCATGTGTTGTATTAATGTTGAAATCAAAAGATGTTCTTTTAGATAACCACTTTTGGTAGTGGGGAAGTACTTGATGTTGTTCCAAAAGACATTTGAGGTTGTATTAATCTTTGAATATCGTGAACTTATTCTCGAGATGATAATATTTACAATCAATACAAATATGATCATCATCATTAATTGACTCTTGTAGACAATCTTGACAAACAAAAGAGTTCAACTAAAAAAATGTGATAAGATGTCATCCTTGGATAAAGATAGCTCATAGTGCTCAACCCAATGTGTTTGCTTCTAACTCGAAGGCCTGTGAAAAATCTAAGAGGGCTAAGACCAGAGCTGTCATAAGTGACTCCTTAAACTAATAGAACGACTTATTTGGTTTTAAACTAATAGTTGAACAAGTCCTTTTGAGTTATTGGGTAACAAGTCATGGGAGAGTGCCATAAACTACAATGAATCTCATGTAGTAGTCTGTTCAGCCCAAGAACCACTAAGTTTCCAGAGTGTTGTAGGAGATGGTTAATGCATGAATGCCTCAATTTTGTCTAAGATCCATCATCACACTATTTGTTGATATCACATGCCTCAAGTAAGAGATATGTGTTTGAACAAATAATTATTTGTTTGAATTGACACGAAGGCGGGTGGTGAAGTAACATTACCTAAACTTATGCCAAATGTTGTGGGTAAACATCCAAAGTCAAATTCTAGATTAAGATGAAGTCATTGAAGACTTGGTTCATTGGGGCCCAGAAGGTTGGTAATGCATTTACTATGTCAAATGACATTGTGATGAACTCGTAATGAATGTCATGGATTTAGAAAGTCATCTTCAGAACATCCTTCGAACAAATCTGGATTCAATGATAATTAGATCTAAGATCTAGCTTTGAGAAAATGGTTTTTTATGGAGTTTATCTAATATTTCATTGATGATCAAAATAAGAAACTTCATCATTTATTGTTCTTCCTAATGAATAAGGCTGAACTAGACAACAACCTAACAATGTGCTAAATAATCCCAACTATCTACATATCTTGCATTTAATCTCTACCTTTTAGAAGTGAGGGCAGAAAAACGATGTAATATTCACGAGTTTTCACATTGTGCTCAAGCATGATAGTGTAGTCAATTTTGTTAATCTAAAGTAGCTCGATTTGTTCTTTAAATACTTCTAAGTACTCAGGCTTGAGTTATTGCCGAGGCCCATGTCATCCTCATGGGGTTGGTAGCTGATCTCAGCCACCTATGTCAAGTAGAAAAACTTGAAGATGACCTTCCCCTTTTATATGGCCCTAGGAGGAGCCTTAAGAGATATGCCAACTTGATAAAGTGGATCATCTACTTGAATCATAACCTATTTCATACTGCTCATGAGGGATAACATCTATTTTCCAAAAGTCAGCTCTATTTTTTCATGTATCCATCTCAAACCCAACACCACGTTCACCATGACCAATGGTAGAGTGAGAAAATCTTCTGAATCGTGAGAGCTTAAATTTCCAACATTGCACTCCAACAAAGGCTCATGCCTTTGACATCTTTTCTAGTTCTTGTGGTGATCAAGAAGCTTAGAGTAGAAGTGATAGGGAGTCTAAGTGCATGGGTCACTTTAAGTGATATGAAATTATGAGAAACTCTAGTTTTTGAGTATGGTGACAAATTACTTATGGATTTTCTCATATAACTTGAGGGCACTAATCGAAGAGTCTCTTGCTAGAGAGTTAAGAGTGACCTTCATATTGAATAAGAAAATTTCTTTGCTCTTAATGTTTTTCAATTTTTCTATTTCATTTTCAGTGGGTGATTATTCATGGATGACTAGGATTTGTAATTACCATCGACAATGATGGACATACATCCTAGGAGTGATGTAGCACGAGCCCCCGCTCATGTTTGAGGTGCTGAAGTGGCGTGCGGAGTGCATGGTCACTGGCGATGTGTGCGACCGGGTCATCCTCTCATATAGATTGGCTAGGCCCATCAACCCGCATCTGGTCCCCACAGTGAACAACGAGGAGAGTTGACACATCACAGAATGGCCCGGATGGCCACTCGCTATTGGGTTGGTTTGGGGCATTCTTATTGGGCCAATAAGAGCGGCCCATATTGGGGCGCCACTTTGCGTTGTTAAGGGAGGAGGAAGGGAGGGACGATTCTGCTCTCGCACTGTTGCGGTGCTTCTCATGGGACCCGGAAGCATAGCTGGCTCGATAATCATCGAGCCCACTTGAATGAACAGTTCTACAGTTCCCGTTGGAATCATCCAGCCCACTCGAATGCTGCAGACTTCAGATACGATGGAGGGAGATGTCGGGTGAAGGAATTACTATCGAGTGGCACCGCAGCACCTGGTGGAGAGGATTGGCAAGATTCCCATGTGAGCTCGGCTGATTGTCCGTCTTCTTCTTAGCCTGTCTAGCCCCTCACTCCTGCGATAGCGTCTCACTGACAGAGTCTCATCCATCCGCCTGGGGGCTGGCTCCTCCTCAGAAGAGAGAGAGGAGAGAGAGAGAGAGAGAGAGAAAGGAAAAGAATTCGGAAAATAAATGGCAGAGAGTAAAAGGCTGCTCGACGCCGTGCCTTAAGCAGCAGCACTGCCAGTCGTCTTCTTCCCACACAATCAATTGGAATCAACTGGAAATAAATGGAATGGTCAAATATGGAGGTGCTGCCGGGGCCCACCTTTGGATCCGTTCCAGAATCTGACTGCCCTGCAGGTTAGCCACGTGCCCGGATCCAACGGCTCTTTCGGGCACCAGCCCTAGAGGAAGAGGGAGCAGACAGGGGACCAGTCAACTGCGTTAGGCCCGCCGCGCAGTTTGGAATTCCAACGGCTACTTTTCGAACTGGGCGCCCTAATTGCCGGCCCCACGTTTGCCGGTTCGCGCGCCTTGGCGGGAGAGGACGGGGGAGCAGTCAAATGTGGGACCCGCAAAATTAGGCCGGGGACGGGGGGTCAGCGGAGGAGGGCATGTCCGGGCCCACCCGACAGCCCTCGAGCATGAAGACGATATCGGCCATGGAGGGCCGGTCCAGGGGGTCGGGGGCGGTGCAGAGCAGGCCGACTTTGACCCCGAGCAGGAACTCCTCCCACTCGGACGACTCCGGGTCGAGCTCCAGCAGCCCGGGCTCCAGCAGCTCCGAGATCTGGCCTCTCTGCAGCTGCCTCTTCACCCACTTGACGATGTCCTCGTCCTCCTCCGCGAACATCACCGCCCTCTTCCCCGTCAACAGCTCCAGCAGCACGATCCCGAAGCTGTACACGTCCCCTTCCTTCGTCCCCTGCCCCCCCGCCGCCACCTCCGGGGCCACGTAGCCCAGCGACCCCACCGCCGGCGGCGCCGCCGTCGCCGACGTCGACGCGGTGGCCGCCGTCGCCGCTGCGGTGGAGGTGACCACCATCCGGTCGAGGCCGAACTCGGAGAGGTGGGGTTCGAAGTCTGCGTCGAAGAGGACGCTCTGGGGCTTGACATCGCCGTGGACGATGGCGGCGGCGTGGAGCACGGCGAGCCCCCTGGCGACTCCCAGGGCGATGAGGTGCCGCATCGGCCAGTTGAGGACGTGCCCGTCGAGGTGGGACGCCTCCTGCAGGAGAGTCGCCAGGTTACCGTTTGGCATGTAGTCGTAGACCATAAGACGCACGTCCGGTGGAGGGCCGGCGTAGTATCCCCTGAGGACGGTGAGATTGCGGTGCTTGATTTTTCCCAGAGCCTCCGCCTCCTTCCGGAAGGACGCTTCCTCGATCACGATGGCACCGTCGGCGGAGGTGGAGGGCAGGCGGAGGATGGAGAGCACTGTCCCGTCGTTGTAGCAGGCCTTGAAGACCAGGCCATGGCGTCCTCTGCTCAGCACGGTCTCCTCGTCGAACTGCCGAGTGGCCTCCACAGTCTCCGCATAGGTGATCTTGCTGCTGAACATGACCAACTTCGGCCCGCCGGCACCGTTCTCTCCGCCGCTGCTGCTCCTCCCCCCCTTGCCGCTGTCTGTGCTCCCGCTCCTGCGCCTCGAGGCCGGCTTCTTCGCCCCCGCGCGCCTGTCCAAGAACCGCCGACGCCACCGCGCCAGGCTCAGGACGCAGCAGCAGCAGAGCGAGGCCGTGAGAACTCCGGCGGCCACCACGACGCACACGAAGAGGATGAACCTCTCCCTCTTCTTTCTTCTGGCGGCTCTGCTTCCCGCGCAGTCTGCTTCCAGCGGCGTCCCGCAGAGGTCCCGGTTGCCGGAGAACAGAGAAGGATCGTTGAAACGGGAGCCGACGGTCGCCGGAATCCCACCTTCCAGGTTGTTGTTGGAGACGTTCAGGTAGCGCAATCCAGAAATACGATCGAATCCTTCCGGGATTGTGCCGGTGAGGTTGTTCCCTGATAAATCCACAGACTGCAACTTCGAGAGGTCAGATAGCGCGGCCGGTATGACGCCGGAGAGGTGGTTCTGGTCCAGAAGGAGTGTAGACAGGGAGGAACAGCCGGAGAGCTCTGGGGGAATCTCGCCCGAGAGAGCGTTCTGGCCAAGGTCGATATCAACCAGACGGGTGAGCCGGGAGAGTTGGGATGGTATCTGACCAGAAATTCGATTGGAACGGAGCTCGAGCACGGTGAGCTTAGAACAGTTGCCGAGCTCCGCCGCCACCTCGCCGGAGATGTTGTTTTGGGAGAGGGAGAGGACTGTCAGAGACTTGAGGTAGCCGTAGGTCCCGGGGATGGGCCCGGAGAAGGAATTGGAGCTCAGGTCCAGTTGCTGCATGTTGGAGAGGCTGCTGAAACCCTCGGGGACCTCGCCGGAGAGTGAGTTGTTCGCGAGCAAGACGACCTGAAGATTGGGCAATCCAAAGAGCTCGATCGGAAGCTCACCGGATAGGGCCTTCTGAGAGCTCAGGTCCAGGGAGATCAAGTTGAACAAGTTCCGTATCGTCCTCGGGATGATCCCGTAGAATCCATTCCTGCTCATATTCAAACTCTGCAATCTCCGCAGATTTCCGATCGCAGAGGGAATCTCTCCAGAGAGTTGGTTGCCGGAGATGTCCAGGAATGTGAGGTTGCTCATCCGCATGATCTCTTCCGGCAGCGTCCCATGCAGATCGTTCTGCCTCAGGGACAGGGTTTCGAGGACGGAGAGATCGCCCAAGTTCGCCGGAATCTTGCCGGAGAAGAGATTACCTCCCAGCCAAAGATCCTTCATACGCCGGAGCTCACCGAGAGCCTCAGGGATCTCCCCGGCGAAGCGGTTGTCCGCGAGATCAAGAACTTGCAGCGATCCGCAACGTTGAATCTCCCTGGGAACGACGCCGTCGAGCATGTTGTTCCCCAGTCTGAGCTCCCGGAGCGCCGATAGCCGTCCAATGTCCGCCGGCAAGGGGCCATGAAAGTCGTTCCCTGAAAGATCCAACAGCGTTAATGTCGAGAGATTCGTCAGCCATGTCGGGAACTCCCCCGTGATTCTGTTGCTCTTGAGGTCGAGGTTCTGCAGGCCACTGGAAGCAGACGGGTCTCCCGGGACTGCCAGGTCCGTGAAGTCGTTAAACCCTAGCTGGACAGTCCGGAGGACCGGTGGAGAGGAAGCTGTGGCGTTGTAGAAGATGGAGGATGGGATGGAACCGGAGAAGTTATTGTGAGAGAGCGACAGGAACTGGAGCGTCGGGATCTCGCCGATCGCCGCCGGCAAGATGCCGCGGAGGGCATTTCCCTGCAGGCTAAGGTGCAGCAGAGAAGAGCAGTTGGCAAGACCAGCAGGGAGCGTCCCCTCGAGGAGATTCCAGTCGAGCCACAGGTAGAGCAGTTCCCTCAGCAGCCCGATATCAGCGGGAATCGTCCCCCTGAGCTCGTTGAAGGAGAGGTTTATCAACTGGAGCCTCGAGGAGGCAGAGATATTGGCAGGGATCTCCCCAGAGAAAGCATTGGAGGACAGGTCGACGAAGCGGAGGTTGGGAGGGAGAACTGAGGGCACATTGCCGGAGAAGGAGTTGCCGGCGAGGTTGAGGATCTGGAGCTCGGTGAGATTGGAAGGGAAGCCCGGTGGCAAAGGTCCGGAGAGAGAGTTGTACTGCAAGAAAATGGCACGGAGGTGGAGCAGGCGCGAGAACGAGGATGGAATGGTTCCATTGAGGGCGTTGGAACGGAGACTGAGCTTCCGGAGCTCCGAGAGAGCTCCCAACCGGTCGGAGATGGCGCCGGCGAGACGGAGCCGCGGAAGGCGGAGCTCCACCACCCGGAGCTCTCCACCGGCGGCGGCGGCGGAGCAAACGACGCCGCGCCACGAGCAGGGAGCCGACGGCGACGCGGGGTCCCATCCCGCAAGGGCGCCGAGCGGATCCTCGAGGGAGCGGCGGAACTCGATCAGAGCCTCCACCTCCGCCGCTCTCTCCGGCGAACTCTGCTGCGCCTCCCCGGCCGCGGCGGAGACGATGAACGACCGCATGAACAGGAGGAAGAGCAGGAGAATCGGCGGCATGGCGGCGGTGTCTGTGCCTCCCAACCTCCCAGGCCTCTGAGAAATAGAGAGAGAGTGGAGAGAGAGAGAGAGAGAGAGAAAAGCGTGGGAGTAGTAGTAGTAGTAGTACGTTAGACAGAGGACGGACCCCCACCTCCTTCCTCCCTCTGCAGAGTCTGCAGACACTGCCAGAAGGCGACGCAGAGAGTAAGAAGGTATTCAATTATAAAATACACATAAAAAAAGGTATTCCTTCTTTCAAGAGCGGATCGCGTGGATATTAATTTAACTAGTCGTTTTTTTTAATGCCCAGACTTGCCGTTAGTAACGTCGTAATCGGTGCCCGTGAGCTGTCGTCCCCATTTCCCAGTATGCAAAGTCCCATCCCCGTTCTTACTGGGCCATCTTACTTCTTCCCCTCGCTAATGGGTCGATACAATTTGGACCTAAGCACAGCCCAATTCCCCTTCTCATAGGCCCAATAATGGTTCTTACTGGGCTCATAACTCAAGACCGATTAATGCATATACCCAATGGGTTCCAAAGATGTGGGCCTCAAGAAATCCGCGAAAAGAGTAAGTAGTGTTGAATCATTACATCCAAAACGAAAGAAACTCCGAAGCTTTTGGACCCAGATTGGTTGATCACTGAACGAGCCGATATTTTATATAAGGGTAAGCATTTTATACCCACTCGCAAGGCAGATAACAGCAGCAGCTCCGTGGCGTTGACTTATCAAGCAAAGCTCCGAATCACATCCCTGGTCAAAGTCTAGACAGGAAGCGAGTAGAGTGACCTCTTACCGTCGCTCTTCTTCCTCTTTGCTTTCTCCCGGTTCAACTCCGTTCTGCCCCCATCTTATTTCCTTCTTCATTCTCTGCAAGGAAATCCACCGAATGCCATTTACTCAGCCATATTAAAAAGCCTGCAAGAGTATAAAATTAACATCGATCGGTTCTGTCAGAATTTCTAAGGACAGCTTGTGATTTTACACAAGTCAACCAGCCACCAGGAGAGTAAGACCCAGATAAAGGACAAGAACGCCCCATAAAACAAGGCGTTGACCCTGAAGATGAGATAAATGGATCACATCCCACAGCTAACCCAACCTATGCTTAAGAGAAAATAAGTCAGCACGTACCAAATGCTCTCGACCAGAAGCCCACTCCGCTGCCGAAGAATGCTGGGATACATGTATTTTTCGTCAATAGGTAATTATTAAGTAGGCACAAGTCCGAACAATCGTTCCAGGGGCAATCACGAGCTAAATGAAAAGATCAGCTTGGAGACAGGAATTGCAATGAGTTTTTGAAAATGGCGTCTGCAAGATGAACTGAAATTACAGGGAAATGGTTGTTAGGTAAGACTCCCCAATGTCTACAATAGAAAAGTTCTACACTTCAATTTTGTCAAAGTCCTGAACTGTACAGAGAATGGAGCATGGAAAAAGAGGTGGGATATTCAACCCATCAGGGATGATCCTGACAAAAAAGAAAATAAAAGAAAAGAAGAAGGGGGTCATCTGCAGCCAATCCAAGAGAGTCAATGATGGGATGAAGAATGTGACACTGGCCTTCCCTGGAAACGAGAGAGATTCTTGATTCAAGTATTTCCCAAAAGATCTGCTAGGTACCCTTTTTACCGAGCACCTTCCTGTCCATCAGAGTGGGACTGCAAGGTTCCCGTGCTTGGAACCTGCGAGATTTCCACAATACTCATGCTCTCAGGGAGGACAAGACGCTGATTGTATGAGGATTTGACGAGCTCAATTTCCCAAGAAGGATGGACGATCAGGTGAGACTTTTTCTCAAATACCCAAAATTCAGCATTATGGTCGGATAATAGTCACTTTGCTGTAGTTGGGGTATAATGAGTAATTGCTTCTTCAGATCGTGCCCTTCAATGTTCCATTCTCTTGAGAAAAAGGGGAATGGCATGTTTCTGGGAACCTGGAACTGGTAACCGATTCATCTGATTGACTTCCAGCAATATTGCTGAGACACAACATTCTGCAGCTAAAATATGCCATTCCTCGGAAGAATCACAATTTTGAACCTGGATTTGTAGATATCTGTCTCTCAATCAACTTGTCCACAAATGCACGAATCTGAAGTGAAACAAAACACTCAGGGTCAATCTGAATCATTATCAAGCTACGGCAAATAATATAATTGAGACAAATGAAATTCAACAACTCAATATAAACAAATGGCGTGGGCCTTAGATCTACAGGGAAACAAAACTTCTACAACAGAAACCGTCGACAGACATGGTAAAGCAGCAAGCTATATCACTGATCAATAGAAAAATGCAGTATGAGCTGTCAAAGTATGTAAAGAAAAATTCTGTAGCGATGAAACTTTGAAGATGCATCAAGTGCCTACCTTATTCTTCCGCCTGGAATCAAGGAACTCAAACGCTGTCATCATTTTCTCTGCCTCAGTACATTGTTCCACGACCTAAGAAAATTGCATCAACTATGAGACTAAAATCCAAATCAACAAAACTGGAAGGCCTACTCAAGCAAAAGCAAAAGCACCCACAAAGAAATGAAAATTTAAATCGTTACTGCATATCAGGGAACACTGTTTGAACACGCATTATACTTCTGTATCTGGAGTAGACACTCGGGGATTGCAAAGATTAATTGCGAACAGACATCACAATCCAACAAGTTTTTCCCATTATCCAGCTATGAAGAATTATACAAATAGAAGATGGCAAATGAGGTCACATGTTCCTTAAGTCCCATAAACAATGGAAATTTTAAGAGATAGTCAGAGTGTCATCAGTAGAAAATGCCTAGCTAAAATGAGATCACCCATCTCACACCACGACGAACTGCAGGTGTTACGTAGAAAATGAGCCCGGGAGGAGAAAAAAATCATAGCAAAATTATAAGTGGCGCACGCATAATGCAAAAACGGTGCACTTCGAAATAGATTAAGCACAGCCACACTAAATCTCGAAATCATTGTTAAACTAATAAGCCCATGTCTTTGAAAGTGAACATTAACCACTTAAGTGAATGAGAATTTACCTTGGTCGCAGTTTTCTTCATTATGGACTTGTACCCTTCCTTGTCAATTTTCCTAGCTTTATACAAAGGCATAAGGAGTGAACTCACATAATCAACAACCCCGCGCTTAATATGGTCTACACCTCTTTGTTGTCCTTCCACAGATGAGTTGCATTTTCTAGGTTGTGCACCTGAGCTATCTGACGGTTTCGGATACTCCCCCACAGATCCATCAAGGATCTTGTTGGAGCCCTCCTCGTCTTTCATACAGATTGGATAGAATTGGGCATCAGCGTCCATTGCCTGCGACTGCCATCTCTCAATTGCAAGAGAGTCTTTTACTCCAGCACTCCCAAGAGTCTCTGTGTCCACCCATGCCCTGGTCAATCTGCAGTCTACGGCTTCATTTTCCCCAGAATGCTCTTTAAGATTTGGAGGATGGATGGTCTCATTTGAATAGCTGCTTCGGATGTGATTATCAACAGACAATCTAGAATCATCAAGATTGGCACATGCAGCTGAAAAATCAACTGACCAGTTTTGAACGCGGCAGTTTCGCGAATCCATTTCAGATATGCATTCTGCCCCTCCTAAAATACTACCCCCTTCAACATGCTCGCGCCTGACAAACTTATGAAATGATAATATCTTCGGAAGCCCCGTCAATATTGTGCTGTCTGTTTCTGACGATGTATATGCCTGAAGAAAGATAACCGATAGAAAAGCAGACAGTTAACAAATAAGGTAACTATCTTATAATTCTGAGCTCAGCAACAGGTAAAAATTTAGAAGAAAAAACGATAGCATTAGTCCCAAATAAAACAGACCTCTGCAGCCATACGAGCAGCTTTAGCAGCACGGGCAGCTTCTGCAGCAGCCAAGGTTTTAGATTTTTTTTCTTCCTTCGAATCCATACCTTGTGTAGAACTATGAGAAGTAGAGTTAGCTTCAATTTTTTTGTCTGTTAAGATTTCATCTTTTGTTGTTCCACTGAAATCTCCTTTCTTATGATTAAAACGAGAAGGTGATGAAGTTGCAGAACGAACATTCAAACAACCTCGACCATCTAATGCTTCACCATTCAAAGCTTGAGACTGTCTTACAGTACTCATCGACCATCTAATGCTTCACCATTCAAAGGGACTGTCTTACAGTACTCATATCTCGTCGAAGTTTGGCGCATCCGATGAACCTGATTGCGTCAAAAATTTCATCCCGCCAATGCCTGCTTTCTTCTCCCGGAAGACTTCAATCCATACATTGACGAGTTGGCTCGCTATGGCACGAATATCTCGGCTAGTATGTACACAGACCTTCTCTTTTATGGTTCTCCCAACTCCTACAGTGACAGCAAACAAAATGTCATCTAAATGAACATCGACTAGAGAAACAGAGGTTACAAAATAACATCTTCCGTAGAATTTCAGAGGATGAAATTCAAGACAGACATGCTAAACCACAAGTAACGAAACATGTACAGTAACAGGATATAAATCCGAGATTGTGTTATCTCTATTCAACATCACATTTTCCAGAGCTTATTAAATCCAAAGGAATCTTAAACACAATCTCTGATTGCTTCTTTCTCTGTTTAGAGGACTTCTTATACCGCATTATTATTTCTGTGAGAGAAAATCGGAAAAATAACGAGGAAGAAAAAACAGGCAAGAAAAAACATTGAGAACGCTCAGGCAAATTTCAAACTTCATTCACTGTGGATGTTACATTTTTTGAAAACAATCATTTCTACTCAATCTAATGATCTTATCTTCATGGAAAGATAAGAACATGGATTTATTATTTTCTCAATGACTTTTCACCAAATCTACATTTACTCCCGAGTCTACTTATACTACAGAAGTTACATCTAAAACCTACTGATACCATCGGTCCTAAGTACTAAGTTATTTGAATCACCAAATAAACCAATCTAAACAGAATGTACATCTCCAAAATTTACTCCAGAACAACCTCAGTCGCAATCCAATCAACCAGCCAAGAAATTGAAACTGAGGGTGCATAATGAGTGAAACATGGAGATCCAAAGCAGCTACAATGGAGATGATCATACCCGAGATGGATAAGAGCCCATCGGGTCTTAGCATGGGACAAAGCATGTTCACAAAAACTTCACCAAAATCTTCCATAATGCGTTAAAGGAGCCTGGACAGTTCCGGAAGTTTATAAAATTAATTCACAGACACCAGCCTTTCTATGTACATCACAATGCGATCCACAATTACATCAACAGAAAAGCATTTTGATTTCTCTCATTTATCCCCACAATGCAACATGGAGTTAATCTTCATGAAACCGAAGAAATCCTTTCCTGTCCATCTCATCTACTGCAAATTGCAGGGCAAGAGATGTCCTGAATTTAATTCAAACTACTGCAAATTGGACGCCAGACACCACAACAAATGTCCTCAACTCCCCCCCCCGGGCGACAAAAATAAAAAAGGAGAACAAGAAAGTGATTGGTGACATCATACACACAGTAAAGAAGCTATATTCACACCATCTCTTTGAATAGTCTGATAACGAGTCGAACAGAAGTAAACCCGTGATTATCAAACGGGCTTACTCTACTCACTGCCAATTAGTTTTGAATTAGATGACCCACAATTTCAGCATGATATCAGTTGTACACAACCAGTTTTATCGTCCATGAGGCAAGGTCCAAAAGTCAGCTTGCACGATAACCGGTCCCGCATCATTCAGTAAGAGAGTAAACATGTGATGATAAGATGGGCCAACTCCACTCATTACTTATAGGTTTTGAGTTGGACAGCTCAATAAATTTAACAATGTCAACATGGACAATTCTGCTCTATTTATCTGATGTCTTTGTTGTCAACTTTGATTCTAAACAAACCTGTGCCCATATCAAGCATTCAAGCCCTCATATAGAAGTAGAAAGAAAAATTAAATCTGATACCATCACAATTAATTTTCGTAGAAGAACGCCCATGGTACACCAACGAAGCAGCGTGATAATTCTCTTCAAAATGTTAAAGTGCAAATAAGCACAATGACGATACAAAAATTATCACCGATGGATTAAAAAAATCCCAACAGCAATACATGCTTCTACAAAATATCAAGGCCGTGAAATGTTTCCTAAAACACAAAACAATGTGACAAATAATTTCACCTACAGAACATCATAAGGATTCTGAAAAAAAAAGAAAAAAAAGAAAAAAAAGATACCATATCCAAGAAATCAATGCCACAATATAGAACGAAATAAAAATTATGTCAGTGCGTTATGCTCTTCATTCCATCAAGAATACAATTAAAGGAAAAAAAAATAGAAAAAAATGAAGTACCAGACAAGCGAACAGCCAGCAGATCAGTCGAAACAAGAACAAGCAAACGAATGCAGTGACGCAGAAGTTGAGTAGCATCTTTGCCCATGGAATCCTAATTTCGAGAAGACAACAAAAAACAGTTAGATTACCCTGGGGAGAAGAAGAGGAAACTATGTAATGATAAAAAATGATGTATATACTTACTAATATCCAGGAGTTAAGTACGCTGAGTGCCTCTTTTGTTCCAGCAAAAGATTTTAGCTTATCCACAGGAAGGCGTAGCAATTCTTTAACAAGATGCAACCGCCCAGGAATTGTTGTTGCATTACAGAACATATCCTTCAGTAATACTTCATTGTTTGCCAAAGTTGAATTGCTGCCCTTGCATAAGTCAAGTTTTCTCTCCAACTCCCAAACTTCATCTCTTTCACTTTCTGCTTGTCTTTCAGAAATCTCCATTGCTTCTACTTCTGCAGTGTAGTCATTACCGGAATGAAAAATGTCTATGATACGGACCGCCTCACGAAGACCGCTCAACATTGCACCACCGACAGTGTCAGGATGTTCTTTGCATGTTGCTTCGCCAGCAAAAAATAAGCAATTCGCCACAGGTCTCGCTAGAATGTCATAGTCCTCTCCGGAAGCACCAACAGCAACGTAGGAATAAGCTCCTCTACTGAAAGGATCCACACCCCAATTAGTCACAACTGCTGCGACTGGATCAGGAACAGACTTATCACCAAAAATTCTACGCAGGACTGTTAGTGCATGATTCACATGATCAGATGTACTGATATTTTGACCATCTAGGGCTGCTTTGCCCACCACAAGTGCTATAAGGACAGGAGATCCTACAGTCTTCTTGACATTCCAGAACATAAAGCATCGACCCCTATGACTTGTTTCTTCCGCTGTAGCTCCAAAGTAATCTACAGTCTCATCCCAAAAAACTTCTGGAAATTCCATTACTACCTTATTCAGCACACCAAATCCAAGTCGCTGGATAGAGGACAGCTTCCAGTCCGGAAGAGCTGGCGAGAACTTGATAGCATTTGCCTTTAAGCATCCGAGTGGCACAGTGATCAAAACAGCATCGCCTACAAATTCACCACCATCAGATGTAATCACTTTAACAGCAGTTTCAGTCTGAGAACAGGAGTTCCTCACTTCATACTTGATGTCAGTCACTACATGTTTCAAGCAAATACTGACACCTTCTCCTAGAGTTTCCACGACAGAGCTGTAACCTCCTTTAATCATACAATGAGCCCCACCAAACCCTCCATAAACATCATCTTGATTCCAGTGAGGAAGTGATACTTCCTTGAGCAACGCAGCACATCCATATTCCAAGTTTGCAAAGTGCCAATTCATCACTCTTCTCTCGAGGGGAGATAAAACATCTTCTGCCTGGTTATTATCATACACGACCTGCTTCCTGGCACCATTCTCAGATATATTGGGAGAACTTACAGAATGATCTAAAGTTCCATAATGTCCAGCCGTCTTGGATTGGAAAGATTCAGTCGAAGTTTGTGTTGGTTGCTCCATCATATGGCGCTTCCGGAGGGCATATTCCAAACCATCCTCAAGAGACATGCTTGCTGAGCCCTCTTCATCCTGGGCAACAAGATCTACCATGTCATCAAGAAGACTATTATACTCTACCTCCAATGTCTCATCCAAATCAGCGGGAACTTTCCCCCCTGTTACAACATCATAGAGAGGGCAATCACTATTCAACACAGTCAGCTCAAGACCTAATTGAGTGCAGATCAAAGAGGAAGGGTCTGCTCTCCTTTCAGTAGCAACATCTGGTTCAACACCAGTAATAATGCTGGCACCAAGATCCACAGGAACGGAAAGTGATGAGCGATCAGTATAAACACGACCACCTATCCTATCACGGGCCTCAAGAACAGTGACAGAGAAACCTTGACGTTTCAAATGGCGCGCTGCAGTTAGACCTGCAGGACCAGCCCCTACAACAATGACACTCCGTTGAACATCTTTCGAGTCACACTTGACAATAGGATTCATATCCAAGAGCTGCATGGAAGAATTAACAGCGGTTATTTCAGCATTGTTAACCTTTTCAGAAGAAGCCAAAGCTTCAATGTGACCAATTTCTTTTTCGCACGAACCAAGGGATTGACCCTTGTCAAATGAGCTTTGCACCTGCTTAGAGAGATTTTTTTCTTCATTATCAACTACTTTTGTGGAGAGGTCATTACCGATAGAACTCAGTCCAGCCGAATCTTTTCCAGCCTCTGTTTTGATTAATTCAGTCACCTGGACAGCAGACGTCTCAACCTCACTATTTACACTACCATATTGTTGACCTGACGATGCTACATACATTTTCTCACTACCAGCCACGTTTTCACCCACTTCAACACCCTGTTCATCCACTACAGGGTTGCACCCTTGTCCATCCTGACCAGAACATATTTCATCAGCAACAATCCCATCCAGATTTGGGTGCATAATGGAAACTGGACATGCAGACTCCTCAACTATCCTCATATGACCTATTGCACGTTCTTCAGACTGAACAATTGCAGTACAAGATTCTGTCCCCATGCAAGGCATGACAATTTCTGGATATTTACCTTCGACACCCAGAACTGGCAAATTATCATTTTCAAGGAAAGTCGTATTCTTCATGGAACAATCATCAGAAGCAGTAACCTGATTGCACGCAAATGAAACTTCTGTTTTTGAATCAATGGCTTGTTCTTCACAAGTTTCTTTTATCATATCTTCCTCAAAATGTCCAGAATAGAGAGGTTGGTTCTCCTTGTTTGAAGCAACACCTCCATTTATGTATCCCTGAAAAAATAAAGGATATTTTTGGGAAGTGTTTTTTTATTAGTCTGATGACATGAATCACACAATAAAATGTCATAGATCGAGCAGAGGCTGTATTTTGATGCCTTCCCCTTTCAGATCAAAGGGCAGAAAACAGAATCACATGAAAAAACTTGACAATTTTCGTTCCACAGAAAATATTTCTCAGGACTCAAGATATAATATGCCCAAGAATATCTCGGTATTACAACATAGCTCCAGAAAAAAGAATTGGCAACATCGTGGACTAATTGAACCATAATTCAAAAAAAAATCCAAGGACAAGACCTAAAAGACCGTTATTCAAATTCTTCAACAAAGGACAAGGCTCAAGATCATAAAAAAGAGTTGATATTTTTCCTTATACCCAAAGAGAAAACTTACAAAACATTTGAGAAGAGAAAAAATACATTGAAAAATTATATGGTAATTGTCCTCAAATCAATCTGCTTCCACGAGTTATTCAGTAAATCCAGGACAATGATGCTTAAAATTACAAAAGGAAAACTTACACTGCAGTCAAGAAAAGTATAGATTTCACGAATAAGAGAGGCACGGGGCGGTTCCTCTTTTAAAGGGGTATCAGTAACTCCACAGTCTTTTAGAGACAAGATGCAGTTCACGTTTTCACTCCAAAGATGTAAGATCATATTCCTGCAAAGTTATACATTGTGAACTGTACATAAACCAATTCAATAGATGTGTATGTATAGCAGAACAGACATGAAAGTAACTAAGTTTGCATTCCATGAGTTGAGATTAAAAAGAACACAACTAACTCACGGGTATAAGTCAACACCACCACATCTCTCAGGAGATCAAAGATGGTAAATATTCCTAGGAGTATCTTAAAGTAAATTTTAAAAGGTGACAGTAACTACTTTTCACTAAAATTCAAAAACAAGGAGTGTCCATGTGCTCTGGAAAAAAAACCCAATAAAAACCTCAATTGACGATGCTAAGCTAGTAGAGAGTATATTAAACATCCAGCATAATGAAAAATGCAAGAATACAATGTTCTCTAGCTCAACGAATGCTATTGATCGCAAAATCTACTGACCTACTCTGCCACTGGATATCTGTTCGTTCATTAGATTTCTTATTTGCAATAAGGGCTGCATGAAGGGTCAGCCACCACATGAGTTCTCAAATTTAATGCATCAGTGTAATGTAATGCTTCCTCTGACAATATTTTTCACTAAGTTGAAAAACGCATCCTGATTTTACCAGTAAACCAAGAAACAAAGCAGCTCAGAAAATAATATGGCAAAAGAATCAAGTTCTTGCCGCAGACAACAAAAATGATTGCAAAAGGTTTTAGCATTAAAGAAAACTTATGCACATCAGTACATACAAGTGCAAAAATTTAACTGAGCTCATCCACAAAAACGTGCTACCGTAACAGCCTTTAGGAGATTTTTAGGGGGAAAAATTATACAACTTAACACAACAAAAAAAATCTAAAAATCTACCTAATGTACACAGCCTATCATAACTTCATTCTTTTGAGAGATGAAAACCCGGATGCCTTTCTGTTTCCAGTTTTCCTTGAAAGATAAGAATTATGCATGTTTCGCGAATGTGCTGGGGAGTATACGAAGTTCCTTACTACATGAACCCCTACCTTCAGTATAGTAAAGCAAAACTTGGATCACTATTTTCAATAATTAAACAATATTTCCGTGAAAATGTTTATGCATAAACATCTCATTAAGCGGGGAACACCCAAAAGAGGGAGCTAGTTTTTACCCTTCCAAAATGTCCATTCAAAATAGTGTCATTAATTAACCCTGAAAATGTTTCCAAGGGTTGACTCAATTGTATTAATTTTTCCTCAGCATTGAACTAGAACAAGTTCAAATTTTCTTGTCTGACGTCAAATGGGGCCAAATTTTCACTCTACAAGTCGAGAGAAAAATACAGCCTCAAACTGGCATGCAAAGATGAGTGACGGTCAGCATCTTCAACTCTGGTTAGAAAGGTAGCCAATATTTTCCCCTGTTTACTGGTAGGATGGTTACACCTTAACTATATTCGAACCCAAAACTTCGTATTCTTCCTTTTAGGGAAGGGAAGAGAAACAATCATGATATTTTGCCATCCTTACTCATAGACAATCAAGTGAAACTACATCTTTTAACGTAGAATTTTCAGGCTTTACTTTTCCCTGAACTTGATAAACAGGGTACTAGTCATATTAAATTAAATGGCTCTGCCTTTAACAAAACAAGGATTAAATTTTTGAAGTTCCCTCCCAACACACAGTAGAGCTCATCCACAACCTACTGAAGAGAAGTAGGATTGCACTAAATGTTTCACTTTACGTCCATAAAGTGTATAGAGGTCCTCAGCACTAACACATACACCAGCACCTGTCAAGGTCGTCAACTACAAGGAGGTTACACCAACCAGAACGGACAGTCCGGGATAACGATTTAGGTTAAGAAGAAAGTAGCCAAAGAGATGAATTTAGGAATGTCAATCAAAACGAGAATAGCAACTAGCACACCAAAGACTAAATAGTATCATAAACCAAGTTCTAAATGGATGGATGCACCACTGACTGAGTATATGTGCAACCATTAATTATCAAAGAGGGCATTATGATGACGATGTTACCAGACATACAGCTCGCAGCTTCATTTGATGATAGCATCTAAAAGTTTTCAAAAAAAATTACAGAAGCTAAAACATTGGTGATAATCAATCTTACTCTTGAAAAAAATAAATTTGATGAAGCATTAGAAATGAACAGATAAGCATTGAAGCCAACATCAAAGCATGTAAAAAAGAAGAATTATTTGCTTATATTGCGGAAGTTAGAACATGAGACATCAAGGAAATATCAAATGCAGAGACACACATGATAGTTTATTGCTTGCATGTACTAATGGTAAAATATTTTGTTGCTGGAAATACCAATACATATTCTTAAAGCAGAGCCACTACATCATGAATTGTCAGTCCAAATTTACTGGAAGAACAACTGACCTGCATTCTAGATAATCTCGGAGGCCTCCCTTGCGCTTAAAAACATCTTTGAACTTGATTTTTTCAATTGGACCAGCGGCATGAGCTTTCAATCCAGCTGCTACAGCTGCCAGACCTCCATCATGAGAATCAACAGGAATGACAGACTTGAATCTATCTCTATCTCTAGTAGATTGTTCCTCGTCAACAATCTTGGAATTCCCAAAAGGACCTTGATCATCATTGATCAATGCTTCCCATTCGATGTCTCCTTCGTAAGTCATATTCCCATCCTTGAATTTCTTTATCTTGCGAGTAACTCGAGGAAGAGCCTTTGGCTTGTCTATATTGTGACAACTGATATCAGATATTGCACCAGCTGTGTAATGATCATGCATATTTACCTCTCTACCTACATTGATATGCCCACTAGATTGACTACTGTCTAGAGACATTTCGGCTTCCCTCCCAATGACACGGTCCAAATGATAACCCAACTCATCACCAGATGATAAGGTCTCCCCTGCTGCCTTAATGTCTACAGAGGATGCATGCAAACCTTGGTTCTGGCATATTCCGCCAGAAAATTCTTTTGAGAGAAATGTAGGTGACTGAGATACAACGGATGCCAATGGTGCGACTGTTCCATTCTCCTCCAAAGAACCTATCAACTCGATACTATGCTTAAAATCAGAGAGTCTTTTCCCATACGATGTAGATTCTTCAACTTTTCTAGATGGTGGATCACTCAATTTTCCACGGGAGCATTGCTTTAAGCCATCTAATCTCTGTGTTTCTTGAATTGGCTCCACAGGAGTGCTACTGGAATCATCCACAGTCCTTTGTCTTGCTCTCCTACTGGGCAGAGAAGAGTGAGTTTTTCCAACAAAATCAGATAATGTGTCTCCTAGAGCTCCACCATGAGATGGCTGATGTACATTTTTATTGACACTATTACCTTCTGCTGATATTGCACCAGATCCTGCCTGAGATTTCCTGCTCCTCTTCTTACGATCTAAGTTCTTAGCTATGCTAACGGTACCCAGTGAATTTTCATCTTTCCCACGAGGCGACTTTGAACAGCCCAGAGCCCGGCTGTCACCAGCATTCGAAGACTCTTCTACCTGCTTTCTCCCCTTGAGTCCAGCCTTCCTGGAGGAAAATTTACGAGCTTTAGAAAGGAATGCCGATAGTGAAATATCGAGTCCATCACTGGGACCTTCCGCATCTTCTAGTGATGCCGTTGATATATCTTCTGCACTCTTCTGAGATGACACAGGAGTGGATTTCTTGCCCCTGCTTTCCAATGAATCCTCAGCATTTTCAGGCTGTTCTAGATGAAAAGAATCCTCAGCCCTATCAGCCCCAGATCGGCTACTGTCCATTTTAACCCTCTGCGGGGTCTTCAGCTTCTTCCTCAGGCTGGCTAGGGTGTCATCCATTTCCCCTGGAATTCCTTCCTCGAGCCTTGTCATTTCCACTTCCCGATCTGCTGGCAAGCAGGAACCATCCTTCTTTGGGAGTCTTCGTCGTTTCGCCTTCAGCAGGGATCGTATTGGCCTTTCGTCATCTGATTCCCCGCCCGCTAACTCGGCAACCATGACAAGCTCACCGTTAAGAACGGGTTTCGCACATCCGGCATCCACCTCCAGACCGACTGTCCGAGATGATGGCGTGGACCCTACTTCCGCTCCACCATTCGAACCAGTGGCAGGGTATTTTTCTTGCCCTTCCATTTCTTTTTTTGCCGAGAACGGACCTTCCATCGTTCATAAGGACCTTCCCTGAGAAAGATAATTCAAGCGCGACCCGAATCGTCAGTGAATACGACTCGCAGTCCATGATCAGCGCGGGTTAGGGTTCATGTGCGTTCGAATTTGTGTACATAGGAAAAGGTCGAGGAAGGGATGCTGAGAAGATGGATGAAGGGGGTTACGAAGAGAGACATAAAAGCAGAAGAAGAGGAAGGGGAGATGCGCCACCTGGGAGGGACCTCGGCGCGCTTAGAGGACTGACTTTCCGGCGAGACAGACGGGAAAGTCGGCGACGACGATGCTCGGGCCTGAAGCCGGAGGCCTCTGTTCACACACCGAGGAAGAGACGGCCTTTGCGCAGGAATTCGAGATCGATGCGAGCGACTAAGGCAGGGCAGCAACTCCGACCTTTGGACGAACACTACTAGCGGATCTTTCAGGCTCCTCTTTCTTGGTGCTGCTGGCTGGGTACGGGGCGCCCGATCCGACCCCGATCTGGGTCGGACGATTTAATAGTAATAATAATAGTAATAATAATAGTAATAATAATAATAATAATAATAATGAAATACGACCCTACGATTTACCTCATTTTTATGTTAAAATAAAATACTCGGATTAAGAGAAACCTCTGAGCAATTTTTTTCTCTTTATTTTATATCAAGAGTCTCAAATAAAATATCAGAATGTTATATATAATATATTATTGGAACTGACAGCTCCTTTTTTAAGAAAAGAAGTGTAAGTGAATAACTATTTGAATAATTTTATTATCATCTTAATTTTCAAGGCGACAATAAAAATCAAATTTACAAGAAGTGCCTCCCATGGGCCTTGGGCGGCCCAATGTCAGTCAGAGCTTGGGCCTCTTAAGGTCCGGCCTAAATACATGTAATATGGGCCTATTTTTCTGGGCTCGGGCCTGTTTGATTTGGAAAAGGAGAGGGCCCGACACGCGTCGAAGTATTTATTTTCGAACTGTAATAATAAAAGGGTCTTCCAGATTCAGTTCTGAAGACGACATCCTCTCGCCTCGTGGGACTGCCTCAGTGCCGATCTCTGCGGATTTGGCGAGAGCTTGGCAGGTTATCGGGAGTGGATTGTGCGGAGAGGTCGAGAGATTGAGGAGATGGCGGCTGGTGGAGGAATCCTGCTGAGCAGTGGGCACAAGATGCCCATCATCGGACTCGGGGTGTGGAGGATGGAGGGGAAGTCCATCAGAGACCTGGTCCTCTCTTCTATCAAGATCGGTTACCGGCATTTTGACTGCGCTGGTCCGTTCTCTACCTCGCTGACTACTTTCACCGACCACAAACACCTAGGGGGAAAGATCACGGCTCTTTCTCTCCTTCTCACGCACACTCCCTTCGTCGACTTATTCAAATTTTTAGAAATCTTCACCCAACTTTACCGCTACGTCCGAGATCTCGCGTCAGCGAATGCTACGTAGATCCGCATTTTTATTTGGTGGAGGGTTACAGTAGATCGGCTGGCTGCATGGTTTTTATTGACGGTGGATCCTTTATTTTTAATATTTTCCTTTCTTCTGATTTCATTATTCTTGATGCAAAGCAATAAGAAAAAAATCCGAAGGATTTCCGAGAAATGTAGACATATTTTATTTTTTAAACTTTTTTTGGAATATGCTTATTTTTTTGTTTGTTCCACTTCGTTGAGCGTTAGAAATTTTGATCTGTTTTGACTTTGATCATTGGCTCTTAACTCTTTATCCTGTTTGAAGTTCTCTACTAGGATTTTCCTTTGCTTTCTTTGTACTTCTTCTGCTGCCCAAGTTGGCGGTAGGGACGTCTACCCGGCACAACGAGGGAATATTTGAGCCGTCCGTTATCATTTACACGATCGTTTCTTAAATCAACGTCACGTGCAGCTGATTATAAAAACGAGGCAGAGGTTGGAGATGCTCTCGCAGAAGCTTTTGAAACTGGACTCGTTAAGAGGGAAGAGCTGTTTATCACGTCTAAGGTGACCTTTCGAATAAACTCAGGAAGACGGGATAGTCCCTATTTTTTGTATGCTCAGTTAAAATTTTTTTTCATCCATAAAACAGCTGTGGAATTCAGACCACGGGCACGTCCTTGGAGCGTGCAAAGACAGTCTGACGAAACTCAGGCTAGACTACCTGGATCTTTACCTTGTCCACTTCCCCGTGGCTATAAAACACACTGGTGCCTCACCAACTTTTGCTTCTAACTCATATAAATACATTTTCTTTTTTAGTTGATTTCTCGTGTCACCATGTACATTTCTTTGCCCAGCATACTTTCTAATCTTTCGTTGCTTATTTTATCCAGGTGTTGGAAATACCTCTAGTGCTCTTGATGAAAATGGAGTGCTGGAGATAGACACAACTGTATCCTTGGAAACTACTTGGCACGCCATGGAAGAGCTTGTAGAGTTGGGTTTGTCACGCAGCATCGGAATAAGGTAGGAAAGCAAGAAGAAGAAATCTAGATCATGGTTTCAAGAATTATTTACGGAGTGCTTTTCCTTTGTTATCCTCCCAGTACATGAAAAGTAAGCATAATCCCATATTGTGTAAATGGTGTTTTTAACATGCACATTTTGCATAGAAATAATATCAGTATTATATCATTTCAGAGGATTTTCGCCATATGAAAAGCACGATTACCATTCATTCCCCCTTTAGGGTTCTACCCTATCTAAACATTTAGTAATAAGATTTTATAGACCCATAGATCATTCGAATTGTACTCTTAAAACCAAGAAGTGCAAACAATGAATAGGACAATCAGGGAGCAATGGAGTTTCAAGCGAACTACCTGGGGATTTAATAGAAACACAGATAATGCCGTTTTCTCTTGAAACCAATAATAACAGACGAGAGAGATTCAATGGAAATACTTAATATTATTAGAAATTTATCACTTTGAATCCAACAAAAGATGTTTTGGTGAGACCTACATCTTTAAACACATTAGTTCCAACTCCTTTTTTTGAGAATTTGGTTAGACAATAAAGTCAATTAACTCTTCTGTGAGATTCATGGGGTTACAGTGGCTGTTGATTTTGAGATTCATTTTTGGTTTCGCGCGCAAAAATCTCCATTATTCCGGCGTCTTTGTTGTTAGTAGAGTTCTTGCTACCAGTTTTGTGTGCAAACAATTCTCAAGATAAGTTTCGACAGATTTGACATGTCTATTCAGAATGGAGGCCCAGAAAAGGTTTATTTAAATGATTTTATAGGTGTCTTCTTAGCCTCAGTTGAATACTAAGCCCTTACACATCCAAGATATATCGAACCTTGAATGAGTTAGTGGCCACAACAGTGGAGACTATCAGAGCAGGCCGAAACCTTTTTGGAATCAATTCTGGACTAAGGAGCGTTCTGATTGACGACTCGAAATAAATTGAAACAGTTCCTCTCTCCCCTGTTTTGCAAGGGGGAACAGGGAGAGAGAGGGGTTGTAGGGAGAGAGAGTGAGAGCGAAGGACAGAAAAGGTGGGTGGGGGAGAGAAAGAGGTCATGGTGAGACCCAATGTCGACAGAGGAGAGAAAGACCTCTTTTTTTAATCTTTCTGGTTCTGTTCCGTAAAAATGGCTGGTGACCTACTATCTACTGTCCAACTGCTACTACTGTAGATTTTGCATGCCTTTTTAAATATGTACTTGCTTTTTAGATCTCTTGCCAAGTGTGGATGTTTTTGGTATGAAGTTATATTGTAATTCTATACCAATGTCTGCAAGCCCTTAGACCTGCCTATGCCAATTTCTCTACTTAGCATACTTCTCTTGTGAATATAGAAGGGTAGAATATAGAAGGGTAGATTTATTAGGAGGTTAATCTTATCTGACCGCTAAATTCTAGATTTATTTTGGATTATTCTGGTGCATAAGACCTTGTTAACTGAGGAAGAAAGAGCTGCTGATCAAATACATTGCAAACTTAACTGGGTTCCCAGATCTAATCGTTCGTCTAATGTTCAGCAACTATGATATCTTCCTCACGAGAGATTGCTTGGCCTACGCGAAGATAAGGCCGGCGGTGAACCAGATAGAAACCCACCCCTACTTCCAACGCGAATCTCTGGTGAAGTTCTGCCAGAAGCACGGGGTCTCTGTCACAGCCCACACCCCTCTGGGCGGGTCAACGGCTAATGCCGAATTGTTCGGCTCGGTCTCCTGCCTGGACGATCCAGTCATCCAAGTAAGCCTCCGAGTGCCCTCCCTAGCTTTGTAAAAATAATTATTTTGATGTGATTCAACCATCACATTTTAATTATTAGCGTCTATCTAGGATAATCCGCGTCCGAGTAATTTCTTTTTTTATTTATTTATGAAATCCACGAACAGTAACTTAACAATCCCTGGGCTCGGTGGCATCCACAGGGCTTCGCCGAGAAATATAAGAAGACGCCGGCTCAGTTTGTTCTTCGCTGGGGCATCCAGCGGAACATCGTTATCATCCCGAAGACAGCGAAGCTGGGGAGGCTGCAGGAGAACTTCGATGTCTTCGACTTTGAGATCTCTGCAGAGGATATGGAGAAGATGAAGGCTCTGGACAGAAAGTACCGCACCAACCAGCCGGCAATTTTCTGGGGGATAGATCTCTTCGCTTAGTTTCAGCAGTTCTCTGAACAACCCCGTCTCTGAGACGTGCCCAATAAAGGATCTGAACCTCCAGGTTCCCATGTCTCAGGCCATTCTGCTTTGTCCCCTTTCCGCTGGCATCTTGGTTTTCATCAACTATTACTGTGTATCAGTAGGAAGGTTATTATTTCTCTATATTAATTTCTCACACTTGCATTTCATTAATAAATTGATAAAAATGTTTTAGTTTTAATATGTTTTAGTAAATAATTATTTGTTTAATTATTATGTTTTCCAAAAAAACACCGGATTAAATTTTTTCCTCGATAAAGCAGTGTTCGCAATCATAAAGAAATACCTAATAATCTTTAGTGGATATCATATCTCATTCATTATTTAGAACCCGTTAGCAAGCTATTATTCGTGCCTTTTAGGTGGGCATGAATTAATGTGGTATTAATTTAGTTGTAGTGGGTTGTCGATGAAATCATAGCCTAAAATTTATCAGTACTAATTTATTTTTTATGATCCTAATTTTGCTCGTAATTATGAAGATAGCCCTAAGCGTCCCCCCCCCCCCGCCCCCCTCTCTTGTTGCTCGCGGGTAATAAAAGCCGGATCTCTGGCCTGGCCCATTTTTATTAGGCTTGGGCCTCAAATTGGGCCGAGCAGGGATTCGTAGGTGTCCAGTGCGACTCGATGTGTATCGGCTGTCTACGTTTGTCTGGTTCCGAAGTCTTCTTGCGCAGGGCTCGAGAGACTGCGAAACAGTTGGGGAAGCCATGAGCACCGGGAGGCGCCGTCCTCCGCCGGACCCAGTTGCCGTTCTGAGGGGCCACCGCGCCTCCGTGATGGATGCCTGCTTCCATCACTCGAGGCCTCTTCTCTTCACCGGGTAGCGATGTCCTTCCCTCTGTCCACAAGCCTCGCGACGACACTCTTCTTGTATCCATCGAGGTTTTGATACGTCGAAGTGTGCGTGCCAGAAGTGATACCTATTGGGAATTTTTCATATTTGACTGCAGTGCTGCGGATGGTGAACTGCGGCTGTGGGACGCCATCCAACACCGTGCTCTGTCGTCCACTTGGTACGTTCCAGTCTTTGGATTTTTGGCGCCCTTCTGCTACTCTTACGGGTGACGGGACATTTTTTTTGTTTATTGGATTGTGGAGAAGTTCAGGGCGCATGCTGGAGTGTCTGGGGTGTATTCTGTTGCAACAGGTCCCTCCATAGGAGACAGAGTTCTAAGGTGCGATCTTGAAAATTACCCTCGTCTATGTTGCAATTTATTTCCTGCGTATGAGGTTACTAGAAGCGAAATTCGCGCGGTCTTGGTTGATTCAGATTGTACTTCTCTAATAATGGTTTCGTGACTGCGAAATTTCTGCTGAACCTGGATGATTCTGATGCTTTTGTTATTTGATGCAGCCAGGGTAGAGATGGTACCTGCAAGTGCTGGGACATAGAAGGAGGAGGCCTCTCTAGGTACCTATTTCGTTTTTTTATTCCATGTATGGTTTTTGGTGCTGCCATCAAATTTAAATAGCTTCTAATCATAACAGTAGAAGATCATATTTGGATGACTCTAAGCTCTTGACTGGTTTGTGTTCTACACTCCCTTGCTAGACTTTTTCTACGCTCTTGACTGGTTTGATGATTGCTTAACGGTTGAGGTTGGTGTTATTATTAAGTGGTTAAAAGTAACTCCTGTCATACCCTCTCTTGATGATGGCTATTTTGCGTAGGAACTTGGACCAAATTCATGATGTTGATCTCATGACCTGCATCTGCTGAGGAATGCTTTTCTAGAATATATGAGAGAGAATGTGTGTGTGTGTGTGTGAGAGAGAGAGAGAGAGAGAGAGAGAGAGCGAGAGAGAGAGAGTTTATACTTTTATACTATAGAACATTCATAATTCCTCTCTTTGTAGTATTTTTTCCTTGGCTTTCTAAAGATCTAATTTTTTATTTGATATCTAATTGTCATTCTTCGTTTATTCTTTTTTTTTTTGAATATCATATGCAGTGCAATATTGTGAATTTTCGTTATGTTTACTATTTTAATCTGACAGTGGGAAAACCACCTTCTAAGGTTTTGACGATTTTTCTTGACAGGAAACCATTGATTGCGTTCAGGACAAACTCCTATCACTTTTGTAAGTTTTCTCTGGCAAAGTCCCCTGCCAAAGAAACTGTACATACGCTCTTGCCGGATTCATCCAGCCATGGGTCAGATTCCTCAGTCATTGAAAACAAGGGAAGCTATGAACCAGAGGTACGGGATGCTGAAGGAGGGTTTGATACAGTAAAGCCTTCCATAAATAACGAAGGTTCGTGGAGTTGCAATTTCATGCTTTAAGGGTCACTAAATCACAAGCTCTGGTCACTCTGAATCAGAATGGCCATCTGTGTCCTTCGGCATCTTCATTAGGAACTATCGTGAAATCAGCTTGCAGATAATTCGTTTTGGTAGATCGCTAGATATCCGCATGATTTCTGGGTCTATATTTTAGGGTAATCCAGTTTTTAGGTTATAACTATTTATCCCTCTCAATCATACGAGCCTTATGTAATTTCTTTCCTTACAGGACTTTTCTGGTTTTGTGTGTAATTCTAGGCTTGACTTACCATTTCCTGGTACTTGGAACTGGAACTGTCATGCATTTGTAGAACGAGTCGAACATCTGAACATAGTTTTTTTCTATTTACTCAGGCTCTGATGGGAAAGAGGTGAAGCTGTTGGCTCTAGCAGGGGAAGACTCTTCCAAGGTGACCATATAGCGGTTATAGTTTCTGTTTGATACCAAAATATGTCTCAATCCATCGAGTAAACGTTAGCATACGTAGGTCGAGATTTGGGATCTCCATAATGCAGAAAGAGTCGCATGTTTCCCTCAGGAAAATAACCAAGTTCCTGTAGGAGGCTCTACGAGATCTAGAGGTACGTTTATCTTGATCATTCTGAAAAGTTTCGTCTGCTGATTTTTTTACAATATCTAGGTTGATTCAATGATGTACATCTCGTATTTTCTATTTATGTCTATCGATTTTTATCTGAGAGAATGAACAGAGACCGAGGTTTTGGTGTAATAGAAAAAATATTTGGGACATTACTTGTTCATTTCTATCAATCGTTCCCTCTGTAGAACAGTAAGAAGTGTAATGCCCTTGCTCTGCCACCAAATACCAAGGGCATCAAGAAATCTCAATTTTGGACTATTATTTGTACTTGGTTTATAATGCCAAATAGATGTTGCTTGCTTCGGTATGCATTCCTTTACCTTAAAAAAATTCCTGTCTTGATTTCTCTTTGGCTTCTGTACCGAGGTTTAAAAAATTGTATCTTGGAGGTAGAACTGTACCAAACCAGTATGGCTTCAGTTCTGTTCTTGATCGTGGCTTTATAATTCATTCCAACGCCTCCTACCATGGAGGAGGACGAGATAGAAGACATATAACTAGTGGCAATTTTGACCTCCATTTTCTTTTTCCCCCGCTCTTTTTCCCCTTTGGGCTTTCAGTTTACTTGACTATTATTGGTGTGTTCTGAAGCTGAAATCCAGTGAGCCAAGACTTTCCCCAACCTATTCTCAAAATAGACCGTTTTAGAAACTTTTTTGTACAAATTTCTGGTGCATTTATGTATCACTTTCTTCGTGTCTGTTCTCCATTTTGTACTGTTATTCAAGCCCTTCGTCATATGCAAATGGTTTATATTATGCTTTCTTGCATTTTGCAGGGATGTGTATGGCCATTCAAGCATTTTTCCCCAGCAAGTCAACAGAAGTTTTGAATATTTTAGCCGGGTGGGTTTTCTCACTTCATACTATATTATATTTTTATTTCTTAGTTATCCAACTAGAGGTCTACATTTCTTGTGCATTAAGTAAAATTTTGGTTTTCTTTTATCTCTAGACAATGATTTTAATGGATGGAAAATGCGTTACATATTCTTCAATAGGATGCTTTCCCATCTTTGTGTCGTCTTTACTATGGACGCTAGAAGAATTGGACGAAAGGTCCAATTTAATGTTGGTAATATCAGAATCAGGAAGATGCTATTTTAAGCAAAGATGTGAGATCTACATTGGTGGCTTGACCCTCAGGAAGTTGAATCAACTTGTACTATGTCGAAAGTCGTTTTATCCAACTTGATCGATAGGAAAAAGGAAACAATCTAACATTTAATGTTTTCGGTATTGACAGCTCAATATAGCATCACATAATATGATTAAATGCCTGAAAATGAGTTCACAGCACGAATGTTTGCATAGAGAGGAGGGATATGAAAAAGGTGGTGGGAGGAAAGTGGAAAGAGAAAAATGAGAAAGAGGGGGGATTAGGGAAAATGTAGGTTTGAAGCGACAATGCCAATTATGGAGTAGGAAGAAGGAAACTTCAAATTGACAATGTTAATATTGTCACTAAACTTCGAAGTGACCATGTCAATTATGGTAGTTGTGACTGCAGAAGCAACCGAAGTTTAAGTTCTGTAATTTGTTGTGGACTTAGGGGTCAGGCATTGTGGCTGCTCTTTCTTTTCAATGTCCTTTCTTTTTTTTTTCGTATTTCAAACTTTGAAATTTACTTTAAATCTCCATAAAAGATGGGAATAGGTAGAGGTGAACTGTATAAATTCTTATTTTTTAGCATCGTCACTAGAATTTGGCTAGTGTATATTCACAACAATCCCCCTGCCCCTGGGTCTTCCTTCCAAAACACACGTACACTGAAACAAACCTGCTAAACAAGGAAATAAGCAAAAAACAAAGAAACATATCACTGTTATCTTACCTTTGATATAGGAGGTGGCCATTCCATGATTTGATTGACCAACTTTTACAAGTACATTATTTCAACAACAGTCTTTTTTTTGAGACAGGTAGGACATTGTGTCGATAGAACTGTCAAGCAGGAAGAATCATCTGCACGCCATTTTAAAAAATCGTGAGCTGATAAATGATTGATCTACACACTGAGGCCTGTGTATGTCTGAGCGAGTCTACAATTAGATCATATGATTGTTGGTTGTGAATTTCCAAATTCTAATCTAGCCAATTACTTCCTATTGCTGGCTCCCGGATGTGGGGTGCAGGCTGTAATGGATATTTTATCATATTCACCTCATTTAGCGTTAAGACAAATGTTCTATCTGTGTAATGTGTCTATTCTTTTATTTTTCGTATGATGCTACTTTGCCATTAAATTGTCATAGGTTCACCAAGGTAGTGTTGCAGGTATGAAGATGGAAGCATGCTTTGGTGGGATATGCGCAATCCATGTGTTCCACTCACTTCTGTAAAATTTCATGCAGAGGCAGGTGTATGTTATGACTCTTCTCACACATGGCTGTATCTTACTGCTTTCATTGGCGTTTGCTAATTGGTGTAAACAAAGCTAGTGAGTCACTACCATCCTATGAATCAGTTTTACAAAATTAATTTTCTTGGTGCAGTGCTGAGCATCACACTTGATGCGGCATGTGATGGGGGCATCTCTGGATCTGCAGACAACAAAATTGTTCTTTTTACTCTAGATCATCTTACGGTATGGTTGAAGAGTAATACCAGCAGCCAATTGATCTATTGAAACACTAGTACATAAAATCATACTTTATACCGAAAATGAAGATCTGTATCGTCTTTGATGTATTTTTGCTGCTCTTTAACATTTTAAATGACTGTTTTATGGGCAAGGACAATACTAGGCCTGGGATTATGCAGCCAAGGCTCGGTACATATTGTGATGACGACCAGTTTTAATTGTTTACGGATCAGAACGGCCTCTATTTTCTATTTCTTATATCTATTATAGATAGGTAGGTGTATCTAGGTCAAACCACATGGTCAAAAATGTAATATGAAAGGTGATCAGTTGGATCTTGGAAGAACTTTTGTGGGAAAAAGAAGACTGTAAGAGAACTGGAGAAGAGCTTTAGTATCACTTCTTTGCTTCAGGATTATACAAACGATGACCCTTGCTATTCGTTGGTTGGAAAGATACCTGATTGACTGGGGAGTTTCGGCTGTAGAAAAGATGTCAAAAGAGCAACAGAAAGAGGGAAAAATATTCAAATTATGAAATGAAGAGAAAGTGGAATTGTATGACCATCTAAGAAGCACAAATCCTAATGTCTTAAATTGTCTTTATCCTCTCTGTTAAGATATCTATTTCTTTTTAATTCCTCAGAAATATCACCCACTTGCTTTCTGCTTCTGGCATACACTGCATTTATTTTTATCTCCGCACTTGATCTGTTCTTTAGTCATCCTAACTGGCTTTTCTTCTTTCTTGTAGGGCTCCTGTCGCATTACAGAAGAAATTCCGTTAGATAGACCTGGAATAGCTGGGGCTGCGATTCGTCAAGATAATAAGATTGCGGCAACTGCTGGATGGGATCATAGGTACATCATCTTGCTAGTGCTTTCACTCACATACGTTATTTACAAAAAAAAAAATTCTTTTCCTGGCTCGTCTAGGCCTGATGAAAGGACACAAAGATTTGGAATATTTTCCACAGATCATCAACCAATGAAGATTGTGTTTGATTTCATGACGCTGACAGCTTGCCTGTTGAACTTGAATAAATTAATTTATCCAGAGTGCGGATTTATAATTATCGCAATGGAAATGCTCTTGCAATATTGAAGTATCATAATGCTACGGTAAGTTGCTCTAATTTTTCATCTAATTTGAATCTGATTGCATTTTCTGTATTTTTTTCTTTATTTTTTTATTTTATTGTAAAGCTATTCTACCCTTCTAAATGTTGATTCAAGCCATGATGTGTTTGTGCCCTGTGGTTAGAGTCCATTTAAGCCTATAAGAATCAAACATGCATTCGATAAGTTTTGATTTAAATGTATACAATTATGTATACAATATTTCCATCTTTAAGCAACATAAATTTATATAGCTATCAAACTATCCTGAGGTTTTTATTTATTATATTAATGAAAATTGGAATGGAAGTTCATCACCTTATCAATAAAAGGGGACTTGAACGAGTGCAGTTACCCAATGCGAAACTCTAAAAGCCTTCAGCTAACTATCCACCCATCCGAGCCTATGTGGTCCAGTAAGCTATGATTCCACTCCAGTCACATGATCACTATGCTCTTCTTTTTGGCCTTCCTTTCGGCCACGCCCAATGGATCATCCACTAAACCTTGTAACAACCAAATACTTACCGCATCTAATGCTACCCGTATTCCCCATCTGTGAAATCTCTTTCATCTCTCCATGCACTGTTGTAAACAAGTGAGTAACGCAGAAAAGGGTACGATAAAACATGCGATGTCTGGACTATACAGAAAATAATTGAGGTTTCCTGATTTCTATCGTAAGAAGATCACAAAATGAGAAATGACGCAGCATTAGACGCTTAGGTGGAACTGTAATGCTCTTCATCACGCCATCTGCAGCCACTAGGCTATTGGACTGGCTGACAACCATCTTTCTGAGTTTAATGTCAGCTAACAAATTATTGCTTCCCAAGGGCAATCTAGATTGGCTGCTTGGGGTCTTTGTGGGCATTGGATTGCTTTCGACTTTGCAGGCGGGCACTTGAATCTTCTCTCCCCAATTGATTAGGAAAGCCGTTCCTTTTTTTATATACTCAGGATAGATGAATCTGCATTTTTATTAGTTTCAATTCTATCTCATTCATCATCATCCTGGGCTTAAAACCCCATCTCATAGGGAGGAACCCGTTTCTGAACAAAGGGAAGGGTCAAGTACAGAGAGAAGTACCCAGAGAAAATCCAACTTGGGATTAATTTTCTTATCAAAAACGAATGGCTCCTGTTTCTCATCTTGATTTCTTCATGCGAGCTTCATGTTGTCCTAACATAGCGACAACTTCACCTGTAATCCCTCTGGTTCCGGAATACATGGGAAAAAGGGAAAGCCCACTGATGATCTTGTTGATCCTTCTGCAGTGCAATGCGGTGTCGTTCTCAGCCGACTGCAAGCTAATGGCATCCTCCTCCGAGGACACAACGGTGGCCTTGTGGGAGCTCTACCCTCCTCGAACTCCAAACTGAAGGGGTACGACGATCCCGCGTTTTGTTGGTGCAGTTGATTCGGTGTACTCCTGCTGATGATGCTCTCTCTCTCTTTCTCTCTCTCTCTCTCTCTCTCTCTCTCTCTCTCTCTTTCTCTGGATCACAATCTTGACGTCCAAATGTCGTATATAGGATGATCGCTCTGGAAGCGAGGTTCATCCACAACCAGCTAATATATAATCTAATCTAGATATAAGGTTTTATAGCTTCGTACATTCCGGAGGGGGGAGACTCGGAAGAAAGAAGGCGAGTCCTCCCCCTCAACTCACCCAAACACCAAACCCCTCAGGAGTTGAAGAAGGCCTTCTGTTGATGTTATTTCTCCAATAAGCATAATATGGCCTGGTCGCAGCCGACAGTGGAGCGGAGGAACTCGCCCAGCCTGCTCCCGCCGCCGCCCTCTTGGCTCAGCTGGGAGGCAATTAACCTGTCGAGCGCCCTCCAATCGGTCACCGGCTCTGGTTCACCGCTGCCGCCTCTCGCCTGGTCGTCCTCTTCGTTCTCCCGCGCCGCGCCGAGGGGCTTGGCCGCTGCTGGAACCGAGGGGCTCCCCAGCTGCGGGAGCTGCGAGAATGGGCCCGCAAAGTCCGCCAACTCCTGCTTACAGAAGACGCCATCTGGACGTCCCCCGCTCATTTCCTCGTAGGTCGGCTCCCACGCCTCCGCCGTTCTCGTCTGGTAGACCGCTCTCTTCTTGAAGGCCCGGCACACCACCCATCCTTCTTCCTGCCCAGACACACATAAAAATGTATACATGCAGAGACAGAGAGAGAGACGGGGGGTGGGGGGGAGGGGACGGGACCTGGGGAGGGGCGTTTTCTTCGGATTCAAGGCGATACTCGTGCATGATCCAGTCGGTCTTCTGACCATTGGGGGCTCGGCCTCTATAGAAGACGAGAGTCTTCCTCATGCCGATAAGGCGGCTTCTGTCGACGACGGCCTTGTCCCGACCGGTGGCCTTCCAGAACCCCGCCGCCGTCGCCCGGTTCGTCCGCGTCCCCGTGGGGTACTTCTTGTCCTTGTGGCTGAAGAAGTACCACTCCGTCTGCTCTTCGTACCCGATCCGGCATCTCTCTTTATTGTACACAAACGCACAGTCAGTCCTGCAAGAGCGAGTGGTTTCATGGAGATGAGGGAGATGACGACGAAGACCTTGGAGATCCCACGGTTCGAGGCGGTAGAGATCGACGTCTCTGATGACATCGAGGTCGATCTTCTCGGAGGCCACCTTCTTCCTGAGGTAGTACCCCACGAGCTCCTCGTCGGTGGGGTGGAATCTGAACCCCGGCGGAACGCAGGGCGCCTCCATGGCCTGCGCCCACAGTTCATCTGCTGATCCTCGAGAGAACTCGCTCTGGTAGGCGAAGAAGTAGGAACGGAAAGGTGGCGACCAATCAGGCTACCCACCGCGATCGATCGAAAGACCCCGAAAGAAAAAGGGAGAAACCGGTCTGGGGATTGAGGGGGAGGGGGTACTGTTGTTGTTCATCATGGTCTGTCAGTGTTCGTGAAACCAAAAGGGGAGAGACTCTCGCTTGCGTGGTCCAGGCGGCTGGCCATTGCTATGATGGTGTCCCGTGGAGGGCAACAGACGGAATCATTACGAAGTGGAAAACTGTATCTTCCGCCCATTAAAGAAAGATGATTTTAATCCGCGGAGGAAGCTGATGGGTGGAAATGGGCGAGTAGAACGGTGCATGGGACGAAATCACAGTCCGAAAATTATCGGACAGGACTCAGTTCTGGAGTGAAGATCTTCCTCGTCACTAGGTCACAAATCGGACGAGAACAAAGCGCGCACGAGAGATTTCCCCTTCGACAGTGGTCTGAGGAAACAGCGACGATTGGATCTTGCAGAAGTGAATCAGGAACCTCGAGGGGAAGATGCAACAGAGAGGAGGAAAGGGTAGAGAGAGAGAGAGAGAGAGAGAGAAGGTGACGTTCGCGAGCAAGAGGAGAGAGCGTGCGCTTCTTCTTCAAAAGAGAAAAGGAAGGGACACTTCGTCTTCCGTTTCTTCTGGAATGGCGGAGCCAGCGAGGAGGGGGAAAGGGGAAAAGGAGAGGCCACTCATTCTACTGCACTACGTCCCGACCCGCCTGTCCTCCCTGTCGAGGACTTTCTCGGCACGTCGTCGGAACTTCAGCCCTGGTTCATCGATAACAAACCCTAAATTCTTCACCCCCGCCCCCCGGTGGTGAAGACACCCTCCAGCACAGATAGGGGAGAGAATGCGGCGGGGGATCTCAAAGAGAGAGAGAGAGCGAGAGAGAGAGAGAGAGAGAGGGGTGATATCGTCGTAACCGAATTCTGGGATGGAGTTCAGAGAGAGAAAAGATGCAGCCGTCACAGCAGGATTCTTGGATCAAGGAATAAAGAAGGTGGGATATATATATATATAGAGCGAGCGAGAGAGAGAGAGTCTTCGCCATCGTCAGTGTAGAACTGGAAGGGGAGGTAGACGACGTCGACAGCAACTCGTCTCGCCAAGTTGGATGCTAGGTGAGCTATTGAACTGATCCTGCAAGCCATTCATACCTGAAGCGACTTCCGATGACGTAGAGATTGCCGTTTGTGAGGTTCGGGGGTGAGATACTCAGAGGACGGCAACGAGTTACTAGTAGGAACAATAATGAAAGAAGCATGATGGAGGCCTAGAGCGGGTGTAGAGAGAGAGAGATAGAGAGGAAGAGAATGTATCGAAGTGAGGGGCTGCAATGGATGCCTTGTTTTGCTAACAGAAGATAACACAAGATAAGTATGGAAAGAATAGAGAATACATGGAAAATGATAAATGGAAGGGACCCCGGGAGAATCTTACAAGCGGGTTAATTCGAGAGGGCTAATCTCCACTTCTCCACTGGAAGATTCAAGACTCAAAACACTCACTATCTTCCCCCATGGCTGACAAGAGCCTTTTTATAGCTGTAATGGTCTTTATCTATGCTCCTATGACCTGACTAGTGTGCTCCGTCATTCCAACCTTAATAGGTCATCCTTTGCTCTTGTGCATTGCCCTTTTTGATGCCCAGTAGGCTATTGTTAGTCAATGGCCCTATGGTCTCTAGCAAACCATTCTAATTTTTCTCATGTGTTGGTTGGGATCACATTCCACGTGGGTAAAAGATCAAGGTTAATGTATCAACAATACTCCCCCCTATGAGACTCACCTTGTCTTCAATGCCAAAGTTAAAAAACTACTAGTGCATAGTCCAAATTGATTCTTAAGTGACTTTGGAAGTTGGTAGTTCTTACTATTTGACAAGGATGCCCAATATTTTAGAGGGTTGCACAACCCAGGTAAGGTCTTCATTTAGCCTTGATGGGTCAACTAAACCAAGAGTTGTTAAGATGTTTGCCTTCTTAAAATGTGATACGTCTTCATTATCATGAGTTAATAATTAGTAAATAATATAGTTTTAGTCTTAACTCATGATAAATAGACTTATATTTGTGTTAAAGTGTGACAAGTGGTTTTCAGTTGATTAACGTGAATTTTTTCTAATTATGTGATTTTCTACGAATTTATATGATTTTTATAATATTATTTTTGATATAAATAAAGAAAAATAAAGAAAAATAAAGAAAAAATAAATAAAAATAAAAATATAACAAAATGGGGGATACCTGCCAGCTAACTGGGCCCGCAAGCGAGTCGGAAGCACAGTCGGGGAAGAGCCGCGAGCAGGGGCTCAAGTAGCTAGGACTGATGAGGGCACGTGTGCGCCACTCTCCTTTCACGTCACCAGTGTCCAGTCGGTTGTGGGGCAAGAAGTGCTCGTACACGCGGGAGAAAGTGACTTACTTTTAAATATAATATTATTATATATTCGTCCGAAACTTCGGCACACAAGTAATGTGAGACTAAACTCACATCACACCTTCCTCAGAAGGCTTCGATGATTTTAACAACTATAATACCCCTTATTTATAATAGAGATATACTATGATGACGTCATTTGATAAAGGCATTAGAGTACTTATTTCAATCGCTTTCATGTAGGTAAGCAACTAACACGGGTTCAAATACTCTTAGAACAAAAACTCATATTTTTTATCTGATTATTACGACTTTCTTGTAGATCGTCGGTGAAGGATTAAGCCACCAGAATCACTGGATCACCAGTGAAAATCTCGTCAATGTGATTCGCAGAGCATTGTTACTAAAAATATTGAATGATTTATGATAAAAAGATTGCGAATCCATCAAGTAAAGTATCTTTGATTGATCGACGAACAAGCCGTCGTCGGAAAGAGGACGAGCCGCTGGGAGATGAGTCGTCACCTCCTGAGAGAGTACTGGATGCGATGAAGAGCCTTCTCTTATTGTGCGGACTTGAGAATGAAGCTCCCTAACATGCACACCACCTCCATCTAGTTCTTCTCCATTAAGTGACAACTGTCGGAGAGCCGCAAAGTCGTTGTTTTTCCGCTCCGCCGGGTGACACCCACCGGAGACGATTCGACGACCCATTTCATTGATCTCTAGACTTCGTAATGAAATCTAGAGATTGTCCATGTTGTCCTTATCCAAGGAGAGACTTCGAAGCCATAGACACTACATGATAATCCTCCTGAATGCTTAGGATTCTGATGCATCACCGACGCATCACTGTCACAACGTTGGAACTGTTTTTCTACTTTCAACTTAATTTTCGCTTCATTTAGTGATAATTTGTGTGATTTAAATTTACGAAGATATACTTCATTTAATTCGATTCTTCCAGTTTTTATAGATCTTAATTTGATCAATTAAATCGTCTATAATTACTTACATAAGAATCGTCAAGTGAAATTCTATTTCTGTCTAATTCGCGTTCGTCGGACACTGACGTCATCTTGACGTTCGCACCCTTATTTCCTTTTTTCGTAAATTTTAAATATATTTTATTTTCATTTCCTAGTATAAAATTCATAGAAAATAGTATTCTTTGAGGAAAATTCTGAATAATTACTTGATATTATATTACATCTCTGTGATCAATCTGAAAAACTATCACTATTTTTGAAAGTTTTATTAAATTATAATTGATATATTTTTTTAGAAATACTTCTAAATATCTGAAAAATTATATTTTCTAGTTTTATAAATTTTAAATTTGCGTGATTTACTATACAATGACTAAGTCATGTCAAATTTTGGCACCATTGCTAGGAATGTATTACATAATATTTAGTATTTTTTTGTTTTTCTCTTAGAGTACACAAAAAAAATTAACTCTTGTTTTATTTTCTTCTTGCCAAATGTTTTTTTTTTAAAAGAAATGAAGATAAACAAGGCAAAGACTGGAGCATACTGAGGGAGGATAACAATTACTAAACTTTTCCCTCGAATTTCTTGATTTTTTATGCATGGTAGAAGATCCTTGCATCCAAGGTTAGAAAATCCTTTCATTATTTCATTCAAAATTAAAAATCTGAAAGAAAAAATAATTTTGATGGATCCTGAAGGAAGTACAAGTCAAATTGAGAATAATCCTATGACCATGAAAAATCATTATATCTCTGATTCATTTCAAAGAGCATCTAATATTAGAGTCCCATTAGCACCCACTATTAAATCAAAATAAATCTAAGAATTTTTCAAATGCTTCCTAATTTTCATGGATTGCCTTTAGAGGAACCTCATTAGTACTTAAATTTTTTTCATATAGTTTGTGAGTTAGTTAATCTCTCTTAAGTTACATTAGAAATTATTAAGATGAAATTATTTTCTCATACACTTACGGACAAAATTAGTCATTGACTATCTACATTAGATAGAGAATTAACTAGTTGGAAAGATATAGAACAAGTCTTTCTTTGAAAATTTTATCTCTTAGGAAAAACTCAAAATATGAGAAAATATATATGAAGTTTTTCTCAAAGATCAAGAGAAACTTTGTATGAGACATGAGAAAAATTCAAAAATTTACTTAGAAAGTGTCCTCATCATGCTATCTCAAGTGGTAGCTCAATAGAATTTTTGATGATGTATTATTAGAACAACATAGAAATATGATTGATTCTATATGTGGAGGAGCTTTTATGAAGAAAACCCCTGATGAAATTTACAATCTTTATGAGAAATTAAGTGAAAATTCTAGAGATCGTCTCTTTTGAATTATATGACAAGGATAAGAAGAGAGGAATTTATGAATTGCATCATGATGATGACTCTAGTTTAAGAAATGAGGTTAATCAGATTAATCAAAGATTAAAAAAACTTGATTTACTTATTGAAAATATTAAAAGCCTCTTAACCTTCAATTGAATGCATATAGTGCTTGTCCTATGTATGGTGAAAATGATCATTTTAAATTTCAATATTA